CATGCATGGTTAATGCATAGACTTTTTACATGTTCTTCTCCTTACGTTGTCTAGTTTGTAACCCCCCCCCCCCCCCCTCCCTTCCTCTTTTTCAAAATACTGGATCTGTATCTGATTTCCTTATATAAATACCATGGCGGTCGAATATCACAAAACTTTCAGGTCCGGGTACATTGATTTGACGGACAATTTGACGACAGATAATCCAGTGGTGCGTAGTGTTGTTAAATGAAAATATACTAGTAAATCGAGCATATATATTGTTTATTATAATTCCATTCTAGGCGTATATCTACATAATATACAGTGTACAAAATATATGATTCGAAGATTCACATAGAAAAATGTTAGGCACACCGGCACTCTCGGTACATCACTTTCACAAGTTACCGCAAACGGATTTCATTACATTCCGTATAACAAAATTAAGCAACAGTGTCCAATACTGTGCCAAAAAAAATCAGCATAGTGTCCAATACTATGCGGACAAAAACCATGCAACAGTGTCCAATACTGTGCGGACAAAAATATCAAAAATAATAGTAATTCCGAACCTATCAGTTATCTGCCAAGATCTGCTGAATCTACCAAAATCTCTAAACTCTGCTAGAAAACAAATTTGAATCTCATATATATACTGCCACCAAAAATGCACCAACTATGCACCAAAAATTTGACCTAAATTTCTATTGTTTATCTGACCTAAATTGCAAACAAATATGCACCAACTATGCACCAAAAATTTGACCTAAATTTCCATTGTTTATCTGACCTACATTGCCACCAAATATGAACCAACTATGCACCAACCTATTATATATATATAAATTAATAGTTAAGATCCATTTTGTTACATCTAGTGATCCGTTTATTTGGCAATCGGCAATGGCAGTCAGTAGGGTTTAAGAACATACGTTGTTCAACATGCTAGTCAAATGCGTTTTTTAAAATATACTTTTTCACTTTTTTGATTTTTTAGAAAATGTTGTTTGTGGTGTATTTAGACCTCTCTACCAAGAAATTTGTTTAAAATGCACACGTATAAAAATTGCGATTTTTATCCAACGCAATCATAGGTTTGAACGTTGTTTTCAATTTAGACTTGGTTGTGTACATATAATAGCCCAACAATTTTAGATTTGTAATATATATATATAATTCTACTTAGACTAACACATGCTAAAAGGGCTATGACCTCTGTGAAATTGGATACATTATACGCTACTGATAACTTCGATACAAAAATAAAATCTAAAAAGAATGAAATAAATGACTTTAACAGGTAAGAGTAATGATGTCTTATTTACACTTTTTCACGGATATGCAATATTTTAGCATTCTAATGCTTCCGATAATACATATATCAGTGTTTGTTTACAAGTAATGCATTTTTTACTGGGCGATTGACCGATCAATCTACTGAATTAGTTGCAATGCATGATGAACTACTATGTGTTTACAATTGTTTATAACTGCATGACATAAAACACAATTTTTAACACATTGCCGAAAAAAGACCTCATCTTTATACCTTTTTTTTATTTGTGTTTACATTTATGGTACAAAATATTTAGTTCTGTGTTCAAATTCGCGAATAATTATTTCGTTGCTGTATATATGAAAAAATTGTTTAAATACTCGAATTATAGTCACTAATACTATGAATATAAAAAAAGAAAATTCAGACATTCGTTCACAAAAAAAGCGAAATACCCGAACTACAACCACAAGGATGAACACACAGACTAAATATATTCGTTCATGAATCAGCAGCCAATTGACAAAGACAAAGACATAAAAACTCAAAAGACAAATAAGTGATGCATCTATGCTGATATGCATAATACCACTTAAATTAAGTTTTTTTTTTTTAAGATATACAATCGTAGTACTAATCTATCTTATGACATGTAGAAAAATCCGTCCGTTCGGAACAAACATTTACTTAAGTAGCTTTATGCATATCAGCCCAGGTTCCGAAAACGGCAGTCGAATGAACTTTTCAGCAATCCAGTAAAATTGGGAAAGCGATAGTATAATTTCCGTAAAATAGATACAAATTGAAAAATAATAGGGTTCTTTTTTTTAATTTGTTACTTTTTTTGATTTTTAATTTATTCATTCATTTCTAATTTCTGTTTTTGCTACCGTGATAAACTGTACTAGTTTCCCCTTTACATAAATCATTATACAAATAGACAACTCTTTTAGTTATTCGGATATACCTTAAGAAATAGAGACAATTAAGTAGTCTTATATGCTTGAATATCCAAAGCAAACTGACCGTAGAAGTCTTCTTAATGACTGAACGATTCAAATGATGTGACATTCGAAAAATAGGAAGACATATTTTTCCTTATCCTGAGGTCTTTTCACAAACAAATCTTATCCATTGAATAAACGGTAAGTTGTTCTTAAATGTTCCAAACATGGGAGTATGTTTTTCTATGTAAGATATGTTTTTGTGAAATAACACCATAAACTTGAAGTTTTTTTTTCTAATAAAAATCGACATGAGTTACATTTAATATATTATTTTCTATAATTTAATGATATTAGCTCCCTGCACATTTGTTTTTGGGTGTGATGATAAAAGGAATGTTTAAAACAAATTCCTTTTAAATTTTGTTGAAAGAAAGTTTAATTTTATGTATCGAAATTTGAAACAAGTGATTAATAAAATCCCAGCTTGAAGGCCTCTGAAAGACTAAGTGGGCGTAAAACCATTGTTATGGATAGCCGATGACAAACAAGTTAAAGGTAAATGATTCAGTTACATTAAAAACATAAGTATTACGGTTGCCCACACTGTTATGGGATTACCTCTATCTGAGTTTCCATTTGTACATCAGTTTAATTCTTTTTAAGCAAGGGACGCATCTGTTTTGATACATTAGAAGTTTATGCAATTCCCTCCGTTTTTGTGTGTTACCTTGGTGTGTCTCTTCCTAACGAATAAAGGAGATTTGAAAATTGGTAAACTACTGTCGTCTTTATTTATATGCTGTCAAAACAACAACGTTATGTTTTATAACCTAGTTAACTGTAAATTAATGTAGTTGACAATTCGCCGTTTCAGAGTCTACTGCATTCTGGGTGATATTTTCAAAAGTGTACACCAAAACACCATGATTGGTTAAAAATGTCCTATGCAATGATGAGACGTTATTTTCTTTTTTGAGTTACGAACAATAAAATTACACATAGTCCTTAAGATTCTAAAAAGGCCAATTTGGACCGTACTGAATTATTACAACAATATAAATCGAAAGAAACAGAAAATATAACGTTAGTTTTAATAACTAAATATAACCCATATATACGTAAAATAAAAAAAAAGTATCATGAAACACTGGCATTTATTGCAGTTTGACGAAGATTGTATACAAATCTTCAATGTTGCACCAATAGCATCGTATAGCAAACATAAAAGTGTAGCAAATATGCTTTGCAGATCAAAGATAAAGACTTTGACATAAAATTGACAGTTGGACCCCTGATGATGGCAGACCTGTCATAATATCTAGATCTATTGACGAAAAATTAAAATATGAAAATAATGCATCTTAAGATGACCATCCCAAGCTTTAAATGCCGAAACAATAAAGTAGTGTCGGGTCCTATCAGGCAATATGGGATGCGTGGTTGCATGGGTGTTTTATAATAACAATTTTTGTTTACACGGGGTGATGATTTATTCTACTTTTAGTGGTGTTGATAATGTGCCTTATGTTTGAAAATTACAGATACTTGACAAATGTCACCTGCAGGAATCAACATTTAAATCACTCAATTTGGATATAATGATCAATTTAATGAACAACTAAATTTTAAACACAATCAACTATTTCGAAATGTTAAAATAACTTTTCCAAATTATTGTAAGTTCAAGGTCTTATTTATACATATAAAAAAGGGTTCACAGTGGACAAAAGGTCTAATTAATCGAACTACTGTACTGCATTGAGGTTGTGAGTTCGAATCCCGCACGTGACAGTTACATTCGACTCCAATCTTAATTTACTAGCATTGCCAATTTTCCAACCAAAGGTCGGTGGTTCTCCCTTGGCAATCAGGCTTTCTCCACTAATAAAAACTGACCTCTACGAACTAGCAAAATAGTGCTGAATGTGTCGTTATATACCAATCAATCAATACATATGAATGCAATGAGATCTTGGATGTGTGTCCGAACGACACAATTGACTACATGACATTGATATTTGATGTAGATTTTGCATCTTTCTTTTTTTTTTTTTTTGCTTGTTTAAGCATGCTGCTGTTGTACCAAACGTAAACGTTTGTTTTAAGATAGCTTTGAAAGACATTTAGACATGGTATCTTGCTGAGAATTGTACTCGTTTTTAACTTGCAGCGATAAAGTTTCTGCATTTTTTCACGACATATATACCATGTATACTATACAGAAGTATTCATGCATTTATTTTTATGGAAACACATGCAACTAAAAGAACACACATTTATATTTCGGCTTTCTACGTCATGGTATAGCTTTTATGATATAATTTCAAATAAATTTTCTGAGGGTACACTTAAATACCCCAAAACATATTGCGATATTATGAAATGTATCTTCTACGAATAATATTGGAAGCAAATTTGTTCTAATGTGTATACATTTTATGTAGTTGAAGCAACTGAAGTGACATTTATTAAAATATGCATTTCTCTTAAAGTTTTCCGTAACCATATATATCTTTGTAAAGCAGAAATCTGGGGTTTTTATCCTTCTTTTTGGTCCCCTTCTTAAGTACAATAGCGTTTCTTCACTCACAATGAGTTTTTGTTCTATATAAGGTGCAGTTCTTCCTATATAATGCATTTTGAAAAAAGGCAGAAAAACAAAAAGTCACAGCAAAATATTTGCTTTTATAAAAATCAACTTTAGATTTTGACAATGGTGTACAAGATGTTACATTTTAAATATGAACTGGTTTAAGCTATGATTGTGGTATTAAAAAATTTCAAGCGAGACATACCGATAGCATCCGTAGTTTTTTCTGTTATTGTCGGTAGTTCTTCTGTTGTTGATATATGTGTGCTACTTGGAAGAACATCTGATGTACTACGTTGAGAATTTCCGTTTGTCTGTTTTGTTTCAAGATCGTCAGTTGTAGGATATCCTGAAGTAATATGTATGTTGTACTAGATTATGAAGGCTTGGTGTTTGTATTGTCGCGAAAAAATGTATAAAATGTGGTGTGACTGCCAATGAGATACATCTCCACCACACACCAAATGACATAGAAGTTAACAACTACAGTTCACCATACTGCCTTAGTAATTTCACCTGTAGGAATCAGCATTTTAATCAACCAATTTGGATATAAGGATCTATATAATGAACAACAAAATTTTAAACACAATTAACTATTTCGAAATGTTGAAATAACTTTTCCAAATTATTGTAAGTTTAAGGTCTTATTTATACATATAAAAAAGGGTTCACAGTGGACAAAAGGTCTAATTAATGGAACTACTGTACTGCATTGAGGTTGTGAGTTCGAATCCCGCACGTGACAGGTACATTCGACTCCAATCCTAATTTACTAACATTGCCAATTTTCCAACCAAAGGTCGGTGGTTCTCCCTTGGCAATCAGGCTTTCTCCACAAATAAAAACTGACCTCTACGAACTAGCAAAATAGTGCTGAATGTGTCGTTATATACCAATCAATCAATACATATGAATGCAATGAGATCTGGGATGTGTGTCCGAACGACACAAATGACTACATGACATTGATATTTGATGTAGATTTTGCATCTTTCTTTTTTTTTTTTTTTTTTTTGGCTTGTTTAAGCATGCTGCTGTTGTACCAAACGTAAACGTTTGTTTTAAGATAGCTTTGAAAGACATTTAGACATGGTATCTTGCTGAGAATTGTACTCGTTTTTAACTTGCAGCGATAAAGTTTCTGCATTTTTTCACGACATATATACCATGTATACTATACAGAAGTATTCATGCATTTATTTTTATGGAAACACATGCAACTAAAAGAACACACATTTATAATTCGGCTTTCTACGTCATGGTATAGCTTTTATGATATAATTTCAAATAAATTTTCTGAGGGTACTATTAAATACCCCAAAACATATTGCGATATTATGAAATGTATCTTCTACGAAAAATATTGGAAGCAAATTTGTTCTAATGTGTATACATTTTATGTAGTTGAAGCAACTGAAGTGACATTTAACAAAATATGCATTTCTCTTAAGGTTTTCCGTAACCATATTTATCTTTGTAAAGCAGAGATCTGGGTTTTTTATCTTTCTTTTTGGTCCCCTTCTTAAGTACAATAGCGTTTCTTCACTCACAATGAGTTTTTGTTCTATATAAGGTGCAGCTCTTCCTATATAATGCATTTTGAAAAAAGGCAGAAAAACAAAAAGTCACAGCAAAATATTTGCTTTTATAAAAATCAACTTTAGATTTTGACAATGGTGTACAAGATGTTACATTTTAAATATGAACTGATTTAAGCTATGATTGTGGTATTACCAAATTTCAAGCGAGATATACCGATAGCATCCGTAGTCTTTTCTGTTGTTGTCGGTAGTTCTTCTGTTGTTGATATATGTGTGCTACTTGGAAGAACATCTGATGTACTACGTTGAGAATTTCCGTTTGTCTGTTTTGTTTCAAGATCGTCAGTTGTAGGATATCCTGAAGTAATATGTATGTTGTACTAGATTGTGCAGGCTTGGTGTTTGTATTGTCGCGAGAAAATGTATAAAATGTGGTGTGACTGTCAATGAGATTCATCTCCACCACAGACCAAATTACATAGAAGTTAACAACTACAGGTCACCATACTGCCTTAGTAATTTCACCTGTAGGAATCAGCATTTTAATCACTCAATTTGCATATAATGATCATTATCATGATGAACAACTAAATTTTAAACAAAATTAACTATTTCGAAATGTTGAAAAAACCTTTCCTATAATAGAGAACATTATATCAATTTTGAAACATAATAAATTTGAACTATAGTAACATTTAGAAAATCAAGGTATCCTCAGAAGAACTAAAATAAGGTATGTTCATATGGTTAATAATGTTTCTTTTTTGATGATCTATCCATCATCAATTGATCCTCATAATAAGTGAAAGGACTAAATTGTCAGAAAACAATTTTGACCGACAGCAATATATCAAAAAAGTATAACAGAAATACCAAACTCCAAGTCAAATTGAAAAAGGAAAACTCCATAAATACTGAAAAAATCAAACACTATCAAACAACAGAACAAGTGAAAAACAACTTTCTGACTTGGTACAGGCATTTTCCGAAGAATATGGTGAGCGTAATCTTGTACATTTATATTGATGTTATATTGACATCATTGGATGAGCAACCTAAACAGACATAATATGATAATGATAAATGATAAAGCATGAATGTAACCCGATAAAATTGGTCTATCAGTTTAACGGTTAATCCATTTGAAAATTTGCATGGAAGGAAATGTTCATTACTCCTTATATCTTTTTCCTTTCAATACACAGGTCATACTAAATAGAACTTACGTGTTCTTCTTTCATGAAACTGTTTAATCAAAGGGATGCATGAATATGTTGTTGCCTTTGGAATACACACTTCGCTTAGCTGACAGCCATGGCCTTGGCATGAACCAGCTAGTTCCTGAAAGTCAAAGGGATGAAACTTACTTAAAAATGAAAATTAATCAAATCTTTATCTATATCTTTATACTAATGTCTTCCAGGGAAGCGCAGAATAATGTGTTTTCTTTTGGGCATTACGATGGTCTATTTAGAAATGGTCTAAAAAAAAGGCAAGTAAAAACAACATTTGTTTAATTATAAATTGTATTTGAAATATATTTCTCATGAAAATGTGTATATTTTTTAGGTTTCGCCGTATGACTTTATTGGTCTAAAAATGCAAGGTAGTTCTAAACGAATACAAAATATGAAGTAGATTAATAACTACTACATTACAATTCAAGTTAAATTGCTATAATTGTTTTCACGTTTTTTACACTCAAAAAGAGACAAAAACTCATTATCAACTCATTAAAACGATATAATTTTACACGATCTAGACCGTTTGACTGGCAATAAACATTAAATGCAACAACAAATGAACGCATAAATACTCGCAAGGCCGGTTGTATTGTGATTATCTTCTGTCTCACTAAATTTGTTTGCTGACACTTGCGATAAACGTCGACTTTATATAAAATATTTTTGCCAATTCCGAAATTTTTTTTTTCAATGTGGCAATCTGATTCACAAGTCATTTAAATGAAGAGATTAGACGCATACAATTGTCCCATTTTGGTGTAAAACGTTTATTTCAACGTTTGAAATATATTCAATATTTACATGGTATATTTTATTTCACTAATTTTGCCAAAAAAATCTATCAGCCAGATAATGTATATTTCACTTGATTAACGTATCTTAGATACAAAAACAATTACAGTCATATTGATATAACAAAGAAGATGTGGTATGATTACCAATGAAACAACTCTCCACAAGAGACCAAATGACACAGAAATTAACAGCTATAGGTCACCGTACGAGTACTCTTTGTATCGTATTTGCATATTGTCGTATGTATGTTGGTCCTTTTCTTTTTACATGATGTTGTCTGTCTCCTTTAAACTTATTTTTCTTTTTTTTATACTTCCTATTTTTTAAATAAGTCATATGAAAGAAATATAGCTATAACATCCATTTCCCTTGTCCCTTATCAAATGAGTAACCTGGATCGCATCAAATCCGGGTGACTTCTATGTTATGCTGGTTTTGATGTTAAGGATGTTCGTTACTCTTGTTTTTGACATTGGTCAGATAATCGGAATCCTCTGGTTTTATCCATGCAATGCCATTCAAACATTTTCTGCTTTTAAAGTTCAATTATTTATATACTATCAATTTATAATACTTTTTTAAAAAGCTTGTAATTTTCAAACAGAAGAGGGCATTACTCAAGAGTGTGTATTTTTCTTGTCTTGTTCATAATCATTTACCGGCTTTAGAAATAGTAGTTTTGTATCTAAGGAATGACTGTGTTGCTTAAAATGTTTGTTAAATCAGCTGACATGTACAGTTCCTCAAATTTTTGTCGACAACAAAAACGCCAAGAATTCCTCTTTTCAATGAATATCGTAAACTTGAATTTTCAAATCAATAGTATTGAAACCAAACGTTGGGTTGTTTTCAATAAAATGTGAGAACTATAAAATTACAAAAATCTGTATTAAAATAAATAATAAGTCAGATTATCGATATTTCACGCTTTATTGAAAATCATGTACCGGTATTTGAAGTAATAAGTCTTTGAACCTAATTTGTATTAAAAGAAATTTGGGAAAGATGAGTGTACTTTTTCTAAAATTAAAAGTTTTATCACTGGAAACCATTGAACTGGTATTGGCAATTAGTAGAATAGGTATTTCAACATAAGGGTTCCTGACTTTTAATAGCAGAAAATAGTGTGAAAATTAATAAAATAATAATGTCATCAATAAAGGTTTCTAATCATTACTGTTATTGAAATTATGTAACAATATTGAAATCAATAGTTTTGCTTTCTTAAATTGATTAATTATTCTTTTTTTTCATCTTGAGCTATAACGTGTAGTCAGACATATTCGTCCACATACATCAAGATTAGAAATACTTTTTCTGCTATTAAAAGTCAGGAACCTTTATTTGAAATTAGTCTTGATATCTTTTGATGGATTGTTTTCTATTAAAACAAATTAGATATTGATTTACCATTCCAGTAAAATTGAGAATGGAAATGGTGATTGTGTCAAAGAGACAACAATCCGACCAAAGAGCAGACAACAGACGAAAGCCACCAATGGGTCTTTAACACCGCGAGGAAAAATCCCGCACCCCCGAGGCGGGCTTCAGCTGGCCTGACTTGAGACATGCGCAAAAATGCGGCGAGGTTAAATATGTTTTGTGAGATCTCAATCCTCCCCCTATAACTCTAGCCAATGTAGAATAAACAAACACACAGCAATACGCATAGTAATTTCAGTTTAAAAGAAGTCCGAGTCCGATGTCAGAATAGGTAACAATAGAAACTAAGCAAAATGACAATGATACATAAATTAACAAAGACTAGTAGCAGTTACTGACATGCCAGCTCCAGACCTTAATTAAACTGATCGAAAGATTATGTCTTCATCATATGAAAATCAAGCACAATCCCTCCCATTAAGTGTTTAGTATCAAACCATCATAAAATATATGAGAAGAACAACCCGTATCATACCAGCAACTGGTTTTAGAATAAATGTGTTTATTTCCGATGCAAAGACCCTATGAGTGAATCAATATAAATACCAAAATATGCCATCTTTAATGACTTGACAACAGTATCGTAACTATATTCCATCTGAATAAGTCTGTTTAAAGGTTTGGTTAGCTTTTGAGGTAAATGCCGACATGTTTGTGCTTTGTATAGAATATTACCATAAAAGATTGGAAGTGAAATACCTGAACGTATAAGATGTATGCATGTTGATTTATATTTACGAATGATGTCTTTGTACCGATGATAAAATTTAGTAAATGTTTTGAATAGTTTGTGATATCGAAAACCCTAGTGTAATCATTTTTCAGTAATATAAAGATTTCTTTCGTTAAAATCAAATACGTTAATACATGCACGAGCGAATTGAACAAGTTAAGATAAATACACCATAATATGGTGACAAGGGAACTATATATGTTAGTGCTAGAATTGAGGGTGTCAATATTTCTCCTATTTGTTAAAAATCATGTCCCTAATTTTGTAAACAAAAGTCTTTGGGTTAAGGAATATTTGTTTGAAAAAAAAGAGGGTGACAACTGTCCTTTTTTGGTAGTTACTTAGAAAGAGTCGTCAATCAGAATTCAAATGCTTCCTCTTGCTATTGATAATTATTACTGATATAAGAAGTCTTAGTATATCAGTTTTATTTCTTTTAAATACATGCAAGTAAAAATAAGTGTAGTTACTTTTTTTCGGCTTTTATTCAATAGTCTCCGCATATGTTTAATTATACAAGTTTGTTATATGGAGAGCAATTGCTTTTAAAAAATATTTGTTTTAAATCGCGTCAGTTCTGACATTAGATTGTTTTACACGATTACAGTTCAAAGTAAAAGTACCATTTTCGATTCGGAAATATACTGCTGCTAACGGTTATATGTTTTCCTTAATTTATAATTTTCTTAAATATCTGTAGACAGACTTTGGAACGATTTAGGTTAGGATGTAAACATGTCCAGTTGTAGGACAGTTTTACATTTATTCTGTACTTAAGACATGTCATCATAACTGATAACCTGCAGCGGAAATAGGTCTTGCTGCTGCAGCTAGAGTTTATTTGCAGAACCGCTAATATTTTATTGAATACAACTTTTAAAAAGAGCAGTCAAAATCACAGTTAACTGTTGCAAAGGCTATGACCACTTCTATATATAGACTTTGATACATACTATATTGTATTTACCTTTGGAAAAGTCGAAGACGCAACAAAGCTGTTTCCAACGCTCTCGTGGAGTTCACTAATAGCTTCTCTGGGCTCAGCGGCATTAACTTGGCAAGTTTTACTCCTTGCTATAAAGTTAATAGATTTGCATACTGGTACTCTAGAGCAAAACTGTGCACACAGTGACCACATCGGCATAGATACCTCAAACAGCACATGACTTCTAAATATTCTGTCTTTTTGTTTTTCTATAACCACTATTTCACATAATGTTCCCACAAAAAGGAAAACTAATGCTAGGCGGTTCATTTTCTTGCACATGCAATTACATTACCCTGAAAAAGACGGATGTGTTATTTTCGATGTCTTCGTTATTTCCAGTTTATCTCACTTACATAAATGTTTCGTTCATATCAAAATGAGGCTTTAATATGTTTTTAGTGTATTCTGTTTGAAAAATATTATAAATCGTTATCTTTCTGTTTATTGTTATTCTCTCGAACAATTAAACGATGGCGTAAATGTACGTATAACATGAGCTAAAGATATTCTATTTGAAATTTGCCTACCTAACAAAAACCATCTAACTTTCAAATAAATTAGCAGTTTAATATGTTAAAAATGTATGCAGAGTTCCCGAGGAGCAATGGTTTATATACTTTAATGCAACTGATTACTCGATTATTGTGCCTAACACTTGTATTATTCATAACATTGTGCGAAACAAACACTAATTATCACTTCTTGATTTTAATTAAATATTTCATTTAGACATTTCAGAAACCATAAATCCAACAAAGGTAGTTAAAGTTGTCGTATTAATAATTTTTTTTAATGATCATGATGGGATATAATTTAATTTTAAGTTGATTTTTATGGAAAGCCATAGTAAACAAACACTAACAGTCGAAACAGTTGATCGCCGCGATATAGACGTTTTGTGCCGATGCTGGTTAAAGTAATCACCACTCAATCAATTAATCGAAACAAGTTTAAAGGGAAGGTTTTCTTTAGTTGCGATTCAAAAAACAATTTTTTTTGTTTCAATTAACGTATACGTTACCGTTTGATATAGAGTCTTAAGCTTGTGTCTTACGTGTGTGTTTTCTACATTACGTTTGTTCTTTATGATTTATATTTTTAATTATAACTCATTCAAATTAAATCGTATTTTTTCTGTTTGATCAAGAAAACAAAATTAAAAATCGAAATTCTTTATTCAGACTTCTAGATAGCAACTGTATAACTTTCTAAGAATGACCAACTATCTTATTGTGTCCTCCAATATATATATACTGTACATGCAACTCACCACCAAAAAAATAATGAATTATAGGTAATATTCTCAAATATATTCATTCAAACGTTGTCATTGGTCGAATAAACTAATGTGTTGTCTTTACTTACCTTCAGTATTTGCCCGCGATTTTTCTTTATTTTTGTTTATGTACTAGCATCATTTGAATTAAGCAATGTGATTGTCACTTGTATTTGATAAATAATATAATTTTACTTTTCAGATAAGGGTAAACCATCTTCACTAAAGTGGAATTTAGTCTTTTTTATATTTTAAAGGTTTTTGTCTCAAGTGTTACTATTTTTTTTTTCATTAATACCTATGCATGTCGACAGGGAAAGCATCTGATCCTATGCCTACATATAAAACTTTTACAGATGTGATTGTTTATAGTCTCCATTTAGAACATTTTTCGAGAATGCGTTCATACTGGTGAAGAGCAAAATAAAAGCAGCAGTAGTATACCGCTGTTCACATGGTTCAAAAGTAATAAATCGTTCATTCTCGCTGAAAATATTTAACTTTTAAAAATATTTTACAAATTAAGTATTTAACTTTTCCTATTAAAATTCAGGTACATGCACATGGAATGGTTAATATCTCATTACAATATGTATGTCAACAACAGCACATAATCGGATAATTCAGTCCCTCCACGTAATCGACTCTCCCACACGCGAGGGTCTGAATTCTTTATACGAAAAAAACGCATCACAAATCAAGGATTTTGGTTGGTGTTCTCTGGGAGGGAACCAATCAGCGAAAAGCTTAGTGTTATCACGATAGATGAACCCCGAGCTACTTCCGATTGATTTTTTGACAATTTTTCATTGATTTAGCCGTCAGGGGTTATTGTAACAACCATTAAACAGAAGAATATAACGACTGAATTACCCATTGATTATAAAGTTGTCAGAAAGAAAACTTCAAAAACAGTAATGTTCATATCCTGCGAAAATTATAATCATAAATGCATCAACCGCTCATTCAGTTAGTCGCTGAAACTTGATCAAGACAAATTGACTTTCTTCCACAAAAAAATGTCAAACAACGATGTACACATTTTATCTGTCTTGTTTTTTTTTTTAATTTTGATATTATTCCAAGAAGAATTAACCAAAGCTAGATCAGCTTCACTTTACGCTATGTGCAAGCAGAATATCAAATGGTGGTGGCTACGTCAACTGCATCTAATCGTTGTAACTAGTATTGATTGTGTTAGATATGAATCACATCTTGACCTATATTTGTCTAAACATTTGACATTTCGGAGCCCTTTATAGCTAGCAATGCGGTATGCTATAACGAAGTGTCCAACAATGGTGTGACAAGTCAATTGTTATCATATTATTTGAAGCTTAACAATATCATGAATATGGACACAAAAATGATAGATTTTACCATGAAAATGTTTATATTTTTGTTTCAACAGTTTATGTTTTCAAAATAGATTATTTTTGTGAAATATCCGAAATGTCATTTGTCAACATTGTGAATTTATGCCTGATCTAGGGAATACTTTTTGTTATTTTTTGTTAAATAATGACCTCAAATGAATACTAGTTAGTTTCAGAGCTGTAACAAAATGAGACCAAAATGGCCTCTATCACTGCTGGACCTTTGAATATATATAATAGTTTTATTACATCAGACAGGTATCTGATCGTACAGGAAATATTACCTTTTTACATTCAAAAATTATAATACAAGGAAAACCCTACCATATTGTTACAAAAATGTCTACAAAACACTAAAAAATACACTTACAACTCGAACCTCCTCAAAATCCCTGGGTGATTCTAGTTTGGTATTGATTTATTCTGCAATTCTCACCTGGGACTAATACATGGTCCCAGTTTGCAAGTAGGATATCGAAACGTGAAATAATAAGACGCGAACACTTCTTTATCCAAATAAAACCACTCGTTTGCCTCTCAAAGAAGCTCAATGTAGAAGAATTAAGGTTTCTACCACAAAATAGAAAAAGAGGAATCTGAATTACGATACCCGGGTTGAAGGACATATTCATTTAATCATTTACTAGATCGATTGCAATGGTAGATAGTTGATTCTTATCATTGAAAAACTGCTAAGCTATGAAGATAAATCGCGCATGGCATAGAAATGCTGCAAAACTTACTTTTTTAGGTACCACGAAATAAAGAATCCGCTAAAATACTGTATTTCCTCAATCCATAAAAAAATGATACCCACGAAAATTAATGAATTCACATTACCCTAAAAACAAAGCACCAAAACTGTTCATTTCAATAATTTGAGTAGACTGAATTGTATAAGCAGGGGTCCATTTTCATTCTTTTATGGTATGGGTTAGCAACTGAGACACCCTTTTCATATATTTTGAGTATCCAAAAAGTATTCCCTTTCAAATATTTTTTGACATAATAGTGCTATTTCAAGGAGAGAAATTAGCTGTGATAACTGTCTGATGCATTTTCAACTTGTTTAAATGGTATCTGTTAACAACAAAAATCTATATCTGATTAGTTTCATATAACATGTATAATAACAACATTGTCATATATTTAATCTTATTATCTACCTTATCATACATCATGAATCTTGGAAAAGTGACCAACCTATTTCAGCAGCTCATCCCTACAACGCATTACATGTTAAGTAGTCCCGTGGTTGTAGCATAGTTTGCTATCTCTATCTGATTTCATGAGCATTGAATGAAGAAGATCCACATGGTAACACATAAATTTATCGGAATCATCTTACACATTCTATTGAAGACACAATGAAAACGGTTTCACACGTATACCGGTATTCTAATCTGATGTTGGTTTGCTTTCATATAAACATGTACCCCCTACCCTATATCCTTTAACATTATCATTTATATGTATAATCTAAATCTACATGTTATTAGAACAATCAATTGTTATGGCTTGACTATCAATATATTTGACAACAATAACTTATGAACAGATAATAAACTCATAGCACTCATGCACAACTATGTCACAGTTCGCAGCGTCTCTAACTCCCAATAATTCACACTTATTCACTTCCTATCCAGTTCATTCAGTGATTTACTTGGTCATTCACACCTTTCCCGCCCATTCACTCACTCAGTTTTGCAACCACTCTCTTGCTCACTTACGCGCTCATTCACTCACGCTCCTTTATTCAGTTTCCAACTTATTCACTCCGTTTATATATATCGTTGTATATATCATTTTTCAAATTGCGTTATTTTAAATGTTGCAATATGAGGTGTATGTGAACGTCCGTTTACCAGGACCAATCGGATTTGTCAAAGTTGCCTAGTTTTCAGATCTCCGATCACTTTGTTTCATTGTGCTATTTTACTACTTAATACTACAAGTTTCGCCATGTTTACTCAGGACAACTACCAGTTGGTCCGTGTTCTATTCGCTCTCGGTGTATTTATTTATACTATGTATTGATATTTATCGCGGTCCTAGCTGGATTTGACTGAATAAAATAAATTGTCATTGTTGAAACTTAGATAAAAAAAATTTACTCCTTCATTCACTCATTTTCGGGTATTCACTCTCTCACTCATTCAGTTTTACTTGGTCATCCACCAACTTCCATTCACTTCGTCGCATATTCGATCACGCACATGCTCACTCGCTCACTCAGTCAGTCGTTCTTTAACTCACTCACTGATTAAACCGCTCAGCCACTCACTTTCGATAGCTCATCCACTCACCTACTCGCTCATCCACTCACTTTCGGGAATCGACTATCTCGCGTATCCACTAACTCTTACTCATCCACTCATTTGGGACTTTCCTTTTTGAATTTTCCTCGGAGTTCAGTATTTCTGTGATTTTACTTTGCCTTACAGGTCTTATACAACTGTTGTGTACCTGGCTAAGGCAATGTAAAGTTCTACTCCGTCAGTGCTATGAATAAACACATTTTATCCAGGAGAACACCACAGCCTACCAGTATCTGGGAAAGGTCAACACCCTCACCTCCAGTTACATTTTGAAGTTCTGTCTATATTCCTCCTTTTATGTTAGTCGGTTTTGCATGATTATGGTATCAACAGATGAATGCAAATCCTAAGTTGTTTTACCAATTATAATTTCAGTTGGCTTACTAGAAAATGAGCTTAGTGTTTTCTGCACACCCATCCGGCCTTGTTTTAATTAAAAATATATTCGAATAAAATATATTTTTGCCCGATAAAAAACTATTTAAAACGCTGATGATGATACTTTATGTACGGTTCTTTTGTGTATCCCATTTAAACAAAAGTACCATTACTTGTATCATACATCAATGTCTAAATAAAATACAGTATTTCTAACAAAGAGTGAAATATGGTTAAGTGCATGACAAAATGCCACCATTGGTGTAGCGGTCCAAAAGCAGAACATTTTCTAAATTGTATCAAATATTGGCATGTCTCCAGCCTTCATAACTTGTGTATTATTTGAAGTTATGGTATTATTGACAGTTGTATTATTTATATTTACATTTGTTTCTGGTAAGACATGAAACATAATTGTTACTTGTGTATATTGTCGCTGCGTCTATAAACCTCTATTCTGTATTGTTCTCCGTTTTTCTAATTGCTCTTGGCTGATAATCACTTATTAGAAAAGCTCATTGAAAGCCATTACGATATCTCGAAATTTCGTCGTCCTTTTAATTGGAATATTTTCTGCATCTGAGGTCGATGCAATTTGCCTCTCTTGGTCTTCTAGCACCTCCTACAGTTTTTATGGTAGTCATTTGCCTCTGTATGGTTTGAAACCTGACTATCATATAAGAATTGTCTTCTATAACCTCTTTTTATCCTGCGTGGAACTTGATTAAACGAGAGGTATGTTGGTCCCCGTTTCATTACACAATTTTTAGACAGTTATGGGGTTGGATCTGGTAACGTCTTATTCTATAAAAGAGAGATTCGAATCACAAGTATTTGTTTGATTAAATTAGTTGAAATCCATAGACAATTAATCATTAAATGAAACAATATAAATAAATGATTATAAGATGAAACAATAAAAACATTTAATCGTGAAACGAAACAACTGAAACAAATAAACAAATATCAGTACAGAACATGTATATATATATTGCATTATTTTCAAATTCCACAGACACGCTTTTAAAAAGTGCCTCTATCTTAATTCAAAAACATGAACTTACAGATTTTCCTATTACTTTGATCGTTGATTTTTTCGGAAATGAAAGATGTAGGATATCCTGTTACAATAAAATATACTACATTAATTTCCAGTAACAAAGTATAATACAACTAAATGTTACTATCAAACATTAGACAATGGACAAAATATTATACCTAAAACATGTTAAATCTGATTACATTCACAAATGTAAATTCAAAGGAACCGTTTTGTTCACTGAATACGTTTATAATTAAGTCTAGATTTTCATTTGACAAGATGATACATATTTAATATAATGTAGATAAAACAATTCATAATTTTAATTACTTAGTCTACATATAAATATAAGAGACATTCGATTCAGAACTGATGTTTCGAATTACTTTGCTGTTTATAAACATTATTCAATCATACTAGATATGTAATATTTTTAACACCACAAAGGTGTTTCATATGTATATTTTTTTCCTATTCAAACTGTTCAGATCTGCAAACAAATCATTAAAAAAAAACAAATTCCAAAGATATGCACATTCATAACTCATGAAAACACATGGGAGGAGGTATTAATTAAACCAACCATTAGTTTTCAATAGGATAATGATGAATGATCAATGAAAATATTTCATAAATAGTTATTTGGTTTTATATATTATGTACATGTACACTGCTATACAAAAATGTAAGATGAACTACTGCACTAATTCTTCCTACATATTGTGCGTATACTAACTTAGTAGATTATTTCATAATACACTGTTATATGTTCTCCATACAGTTATGATACAAGCTATTTAGCAAGCTATTGGTTAAGGATTACAAGGTGCATACACTTTAGAAAACGATAAAATGATTAAATACCAACATGTAGAATAAAGATGTAAGAAAGCAAGCTCATTTCATACAGAATTATACCTTATAAATATAAATGTATATGTTTATACATCTCTGTAAGTGCAACACAAAACATTGTGATGATTAGTGATCAAAACATTATGGTTTCTTGTTCCTTAACAACTAGGAATTCAAACACACAATAATACACTCAAAACGATACGTAAATGGTTAGACGGCATAACTCTTGTGTCAATTGTTCAACTTTAAAAATTTTCACTCGTAATTAGAATAAAATAAAATGTTTTCCTACCTACCCATCCAAAATATGAGTCGGGGTAGAGCAATTCAAAACAATTTTAATTAAAACATGACAAAACAATATGGCATTTAGTTTCAATGACTTGTCCGGAAATGTTATTTTTTTGTTAATAATAATGGCTTTACATCATACCTAAATTATCCGTTGTCTGCATTGTGCTTCGAATAGTCCCATCCCCTTGCGACGTCATGATTGCAACAGTGGTCGTTTCCGAGTAACAAGTATCACAACATATTACTGGCACATTTTCACAATAGTTAGGTGCATAAGCGTACATGTCAGCACATGTCCACCCATTACTGGATATTGGCCCTCTATCGTCGCCGTATAAACAGTTGACTGATATAAATAATAGAAATAAGAAGATGGGGTATGAGTGCCAATGAGACAACTCTCCATCCAAGTCACAATCTGTAAAATCTGTTAAAGTAAACCATTATAGGTCAAAGTACGGCCTTCAACACGGAGCCTTGGATCACACCGAACAGCAAGCTAAATTTAAATTATTACTTGGTGGAAAACTAAACCCGCTGCATTTGTTTGCACCTACCCTAAGACAGGAACCTGTTGTTCAGTGGTTGTCGTTTGTTGATGTGGTTCATAAGTGTGTCTCGTTTCTCGTTTTTTTAAATAGATTAGACCGTTAGTTTTCCTGTTTGAATTGTTTTACACTAGTCATTTTGTGGGCACTGTATAGCTTGCTGTTCGGTGTGAGCCAAGGCTCCGTGTTGAAGGCCGTACTTTGACCTATAATTGTTTACTTTTTACACATTTTGACTTGGATGGAGAATTGTCTTATTGGCACTCATACCACATCTTCATATTTCTACTTATATTGATTTTGTTATGTCAATTAGTATGCTTATTATCATCACATCAATATGATTGGAGGTTAATTTTTAGTCGATTGATTTTCCTTTGACTTACCGAACTAGATGTTTCCTCTGCATCTTTTCACTCAAAAACATTGATGGTACCAATTGTAATGCTCCAGATGCGCATTTTTGACAATTTGTTTCTCTTTAAATATATTCATCATCACCATTATTTCAAATCATGTTAAATAACTAATCATCTACTGATGACTATTATATGTGTTATAAAAAAAGAACAAAACTCCTAAAATCTGATCTAATTGTGTTGGTATGAATTTTAGCATAGGTGTTCATTATCCGTTATTGTTGTAGTAGATCCGTAAACGTTTGTAACGTTATATTATGTGTTATTGAGTCATAGCATGTACTATAGCTACGATTCAACTAAAACTTACCATTCCCAGCTGGAGCATTGATATCTGATGTACATTCTCCAGAAACACACCACTACAAAAACATTATTCATAAAAGATAGAACAAAAATGAAATAATGTACAGAAAAAAATATACAAACTAATAATATATAAATCACGCTTTTGAAAGCACTGAAGGCAATCAATTTTCAAAGCAGACAACCAGTTATAAAAAAAGCACTTACAAAAACAAAAACGCAGAATAGTCCTGCTTTTTTAATGTTTATTGAAATGAAACAAATATGAGATGACAAGTTGTCTTTATCACAACAAACAATAGCAACAGTATATTGAATTGGTGTGAAAAGGTACTGAAAAGTACTGAATGGAATGCAGGCAAATTGTCTGAACAGTAGTGTGATTGACTGAACGACTGAACATGACTTCATGATTTATTGTTCCGACTTTTCAGGTGATGCTAGGATCAGAATTACTGTTAAAGAATTAAATTATTGTACAAGACAGGGATTGCATCTTGTTCTCAGGACGCAATTATGCCACAGTACTACGAAATTCCGTTAATTCTATGAAACATTTACTGTTCATTGTGTACACACAAAAAGGAATTTTAAGAATAGTTTAATTTCAAATGGTGCATAGGCAATTTGGATTGTTGAAGATTGTCTTACCTATTCCAAGATAAATTTCCAAATGGTGAATTAATTGAGTCATTCACAAAAAACAAATTCTGACAAAGATCATCAAGTTCAAAGATTGATAATTTAGATACCTTATGATTGCCACAAAGTGTGCCACTTCCTGCTATTGCTGAGCGGCACGATGTTTCATCTGGATTATAGCACCACAGTACACTGCATATTGATTCATATTTACCATTGTATTGTCCCTAAAACACAGTGAATTAAGCGAAGTCAAAAGTGCTTCACCGATAGCTGAATTATCCTACTAGTAAATGTTTGCGTTATCAAAAACTATCTTATTCAATCGCGTGAATTAATATAGTCTGTAGCTACACCAGATTATATTCTATTTCTTCAAATGTGTATTACTCAAAATAAGGGCGAACAAGCGTGACCGTTTCATTTGTATTCTAGTATTTGCTGTAAATAATGAACCATATTTTGAATGAGTTTTATATGGAGATGACACATTTTCGTCTGCATAAGGCAAACTATCCTTACCCTACACATATATGAACTGTTCCCGTAAATGTGAACACACTGGGCGTCCGCATCATACAATTGTCCTGCTAATGATTGGTTGTATGGTGCCAGTGCAGTCGGGTCGAAATTGGTTCCCAATGTCTTTATACAATTATTGCCTGACCTAAAATTCAAAATGAGAATATAATTGATACATCAAGAAATATTTTGTTTAACTACACATTTGAAATATTTATCATTTAATTAAGTCATCTGTAAATGTACTTTGATTTGAATCGAGCTGATGTATAACGAAATACTTATATATTTACAATAGTCGAGACCATAGCAAATTTGATGATTAAGAAACACATACATGATATATATAGACTGAAATATTTAGGAAATTTAATAATTTCATTTTTTTTGCGATGTTTTCATATGAGTTTAATTATGAAATTTTCAAAAATTTCGATACAGTATCGATTGTTGTTAAAAATATTGTACCCTCGAAGATAAACATTCAGATGCAAGAATGCTATGGATTGTTATTTAATGGTAAAATAAAATTGAGAATGGAAATGGGGAATGTGTCAAAAAGACAACAACCCGACCATAGAACAGACAACAGCAGAAGTCACCAACAGGTCTTCAATGCAGCGAGAAATTCCCGCACCCGGAGGCGTCCTTCAGCTGGCCCCTAAACAAATATATATACTAGTTCAGTGATAATGAATGCCATACTCAACTCCAAATTGTACACAAGAAACTAAAATTAAAAATAATACAAGACTAACAAAGGCTAGAGGCTCCTGACTTGGGACAGGCGCAAAAATGCGGCGGGGTTAAACATGTTTATGAGATCTCAACCCTCCCCCTATACCTCTAGCCAATGTAGAAAAGTAAACGCATAACTATACGCACATTAAAATTCAGTTCAAGAGAAGTCCGAGTCTGATGTCAGAAGATGTAACCAAAGAAAATAAACAAAATGACAATAATACATAAATAACAACAGACTACTAGCAGTTAACTGACATGCCAGCTCGAGACTTCAATTAAACTGATTGAAAGATTATGTCTTCATCATATGAATATCTGGCACAATCCTTCCCGTTAGGGGTTTAGTATCATACAATCATAACATATATAAGAAGAACATAACCCGTGTCATGCCAACAACTGGTTTTTAAATAAATGTGTCAGTGCCGATATATTACGGTAGACTTTATTACGTGTTACTGAAGATCAAAACCAGCACAATCAGGACACATTTTTCATACCATACCTCCAACTGAATATGGAATCCCACAACCAGTCCGAACCAGCTGTGCCATTCCCTGTTGAATTGTTAAATACTTACGAATCAAGTGTATCTATCTTTGATGTGAAGTAATCTATTGAGCATGTAGAAAATTTCCATGGATTTGTTGCTTTATTCGGGTCTTGTTGAGGACTATTTGAGTAGGCAATTATATAAGCATCGGTTCCATTGCATGAGTTTCCATCACCATCATGCATGGCGCTCAGACTGTAAACATAAACAATAAATTTTACAAACATTGACTTACGGAGCTTTGCAGTTGAAACAAAAAATACATCATCATCATCATCATCATCATCATCATCATCATTTAAAATCCTGATGACTAAATTATGATTGCTTAAAGATTGATCTGAAAAAAATATTGCATCCTGAAGACAATATTACTTGAATTTTTCTGGAAAACTCTATTCTATAATGCTTTAACGACACTATGTCGTACCAAGAACTATCATTCACACAACTGCTTAAATGCACGTTTTGTTTTCTCTATTTTATAAACTATGACAAATATAAAGATTGAAATGATTTATAATCAAACAGTTTAGCTCTCTAATTTTTTTTTCGCAAGAGACAAAACCGGATATAAACGTTGAATTTAGATCAAAATTTGAAAATACGCATTGGTCAGTTTGAAAACTTCTATTGAATTTAATCTGATCTAGTGATAAAAAGATATATTTGAATATGTAAATCACCTGTGTCCTAGTTCATGTGCTGCTACAGTTATGACAATAAAATTAAACCTCTCCTGTACGATAGATTGACTATAATCACCACAAATGTCACCTACCCAGGATAGTCCTGCAAATATGTTTTCAGTTAATTTGGATTATGTTAGAAGGCTTAGTATTAACATAGAAACAGGTTATAAACAAAACGCTTTCACGTTTAAAGAACAGCCGATTAAAGATTTATTTAGTTTGCCTTTATTATGTAAATGTCTAAACGTCTAATTTTTCACAAATTTTGTCATTGTAACCGATGCATTGATGATTTTAGAAATAAATCGTTCCAAACATTACAAAAAATATATTACGTCCCTATTAGCAAATACAAATGCACAATCCGCTGCTATGCATGAGTATTGCTATGTTTTATCAAGATCACCGAAATATTCAAATTAATACTTAATATTGACTTGTTCAAGGAAAACATCGATCACGCATTCATTTAATCATTTAAAACGTGCACTGCTTACAAACTCATTTACTATGATATTGATCATTATAACTAAACAACTGATGACATCCATTCTAAACTCAATGTTCTTTTCAAATTTTACTCTCTTTTCTTGTATTTCCGCGGCAAACCAACTCTCCGTTGAGGTTTCTCCGCTTCAAAATACCTCAATGACAGGTACTAATTGGTTAAAATAAAATGTTTGTAAAAATTTAAGTTTTTAAACATTAATATGATGAGTGCATATCTTATTAAATGTGCAGGCATATCATGTAAAGAATACTGTAAGGGATGTACAAAAGGTCTTTTTAAAAATGATTTGTATTTGATTTTCTGCGCTTTTGGCATCTAATGTAAAGCTTTCTCGAGGATATCCAGTGTGGTATCTGCAAATTATTCCAAAAAGACGTGGCATGCATAATAAAAGCGATTTATTCGTTCATTTCACTTCATGAGAAAAACTTGCTTTTTTCCAACATAATTTGCAAAATAAAACATAAACCAAAACTAAATGAACTTTAAGTCATTAGTATGATGTTCATTGTGTGGGACATTGTCGATTAGTAATAAAGTTTTGTGGTACAATTTTGAACATACTGCATCATTTTCTTAAAAGATGGAGTAATTGCATGTAATAATGTATCTTTCGTTTTGTTTTTTTTTTTGTCCTTGATAGTTTCTTCTTAATCCATTTACGAGGTTGTTGCCTTATTTTGATAAAATATTCATATTCCTTGTTTCCCTTTCATGATAGTCTGTAGCAACACCATATTACATTTTTACCAATAATATAATGAATATTATCTTATGGTTGTGAACTTTAATCTATTTCCGCATGAAGAGATATTTCTCGCATCACACTGAACGGAATATGATATTGCTACGAAAATAATGCTTTTATTTGGTTGGCTTATGCTAAAATATATATTACTAAATTGCGACATTTCATTGGATATTCGTAAGGACACTGTTGACTTTCAAGGGTCACAACGGACTTTCAATAATGAAAATAAACTTGCCAAAGGCTTCCCTCTTATAACATCGAAATTAAATAACTCGAGTTGATATAATGCGATATTCAATTTTCACTCGTTATGAAAATAAAATGTAGATCCTCAAAAAATAGATAAAATGTACTCTCTATTTTACATACCCGCTTTTGAAGTTGATCCTTCATATACTAAGTCATATCTGCAGAAAATAAATATTTAAGAATGTACATTTGAATCCTTTTAAAAAGTGCTTTAACTTTAGCTATCTCAGTTGTTTTTCCTTTTAAATGCATATATTCCTCATAATTGTTATTATATGTGTGCTTTATAATTAGAGGGATATGTTTCCAAAATATCAAAACTTAGTTTGCAGTTCTTGAATAAAATCTCCATTTGAAATTGTAATTGATGAGCTACGTTAAATTGGGAGTTCTTGATTTCTTAGTTCGTAGTAAAAGAGACGTCCGGACCTTCGACATTGCCAACACTTTTATGATGTATGGTAACTAGACGATGGGACATGATTCAAATTGGATTATCTCTCATTAACCGGGAAAATCTAAACTGAGATATACATCAAATGCCCAATCGCGCTTTACAAAATATGCATTATATGTAAGTCTGACCTACACGTAGATTACATGTATTTATGATAAATGTCCGATATCCGGACGTCTCTATCATACGTAATTGTACACATCAGTGTTATAACTGTTTTTTTTAGAATATAGACAACTCATACTGTCCTAACACATAAGTTATATCTTTGCGTAAATGTTTATGTAAAATATAAAGTTTATGTCGATCGAATTTTTTTTTTCATTTGGAAGTATTTTTCTCTGACATAAATCTAACATTAACTTTTTCCCAGTCAGAACAAATTCCAAGATCTATAACAGCTGAGTAAAGAAATTACCTTGTGAACAACATAGACTGGTCTCTTTCCGGTAAATGTGATGTATTTGCTATAATCCATTCATTGAATTTGTATATGCATTGCATTGCATCAACTGCGTTTGGTGTAACAGTTATATTTTTAATACTTTCGGTCCATGGGGCGTCATCAGGTGTCTGTTGTAAAACAAAAGGTTTTCTAATTCACAGAGCATGATAACACGAATTACTCAAGATTGGCAGTATGACTTGTAATACTTGTACGTGATTAATAAAATAGATAGTCAGGTTTGTTTAACACAAAGCACGTGTGGGTTTGGTGTCACACTTTGTACGTGAAATGCAGATTGCTACTACTAGTTGGACGTTCTTGCAGTGATCTACCGTAACGCTTCAAGACCTCACAATTGGGGCAGTTTTGATTGTTACCTGTAGAAATTAACGTAAAGTGTTTTATTCAGATTATACAGTTAATTAACTGTGGACATGAATTCATTAACACTTGGTCTATAAATTCTATGGATATGCTACCGCTATTTCAAGCCAGTGCATGTTTCTTAATTGAACAATCATGTTAAATCCTATAAAGTCTACCCTGGAAAATGCTTGAATAGAAAAATATGCAAAGACCTTCAAAATATTCACGTAATAAAAAAGGTTTATTTAGAAAAAAAAATTTGAATTATCCATGAAATAAAGAGGCGGATGATATAAAAAACTCATAAAGCAAAGAAAAACAGACAACGCCTTGGCAAAAAAACATCAAAATAACGAGAAGACGAAAAAGTCTACAAAACACTATACCAGTAACCAAAGAATGAGAAATACGAACCCCAACAGAAAAAACGCATTTGCTCTGGAAGAATGAACTATTCCTGTTCCACAAGTTGCCGCCGTATTGTTGCTCATGCAAGTAAAAATCCGTTGATCATTTCCATTTGGTGATGTCACAATAGAGGAAAAGAGGAAAGTGTTGTTGTAAAATTAATAAGAACATATCCGTTGAATCTGCGACACGAAACAAATATTTCATAACGGTCAAACCAACTCCGTAAAACTTTCGATGGGAGACTGCAACTTTAACACTTGGAACCCTTCATTCAAAAGCTTCCTTTTAAGCAGCAGCCCTCTATCAAGGAAATCATGATAATAAATCTGGAATAATGTATAAACCGGGAAATATGCTCATTATGCAGGCGCTACTGGACTGTTGCTACATAGAAATGGAAAGTTTACAATTGCTGAAACAATCAATTTGTCCGAAAGTTTTGTTTTCAACCGACTCTCGTTGTCAATTGCTAGATGTAATTCAAGTTATGGGGTAGACTTATCTGTATCTATGATATTCTTTATTTAAGGTTCGATTAGATAGATGTGTTCAACAAAGTCACCAAACACATTATTTTGTGAGAAGACATCTTATATATAGCGGAACGGGAAGTTAAAGGATAATGCTAGCTTCTTTTCATTCTTTGTTTCTCTAATAAAATTGAGGGGAAGATACAAAAGGGATATTCAAACTCATAAGTCGAAAATAAACTGACAACGCCATGGCTAAAACAGAAAAGACTAACAGACAAACAATAGTTCACAACACACAACATAGAAAACTAAAGACGGAGCAATACGAACCCCACCTAAAAACGGGGGGCGACCTCAGGTGCTCCGGCAGCGTTATCAGATCCTGCTCCACATGTAGCACCGTCGAGTTGCTCATGTTAGTACAAACCCGGTAATAAGTCTAAATCCGTTCGATAGGTCACATTCGGGGAAAAGGGGACGGGATTTGGAACATATCCGCTATCATCTGTGAAACAATAATTCTATAACGGTTAACCAACTCGTGATGGTGATCGTAATAAATAGAGAAACAATTAGAGGACCACAATTGATTTCCTTAAGAGCGAATATTTGTTGAAAAAAACACGTCTTTCAAACGTAATAAACATGTTGTCAATAAAACAAAATCACGATGTCAGTTTAAGAGATTTTTTTGCTTGATTACAGTTGATTTTTACATAGTATAATTTGTCCCTTCCTTTAACAAAATATGTATATCTATAATGGCCATGTGGGAGAATACTTTTTAAGTTTTATTTATCTTGTGTCACATCCCTATTGCATATTTTAACGAATAAAATGTATTCGAACTGAACTACGTTGGCCAAATTTTATGAAACCAAGTAAGGCTACTTCTTTCATTGACTGATTGGTTGATTGGTGTTTAACGCCTCTTTCTTCACGATTAAGGTACTATTTCTTTCAATGAAAACGTTCGTTTTGATATTTGCAGACATTTTGTTTAAGAGAATTGCCAAATATGAAAATTAAGACGATAATTGCCATTAATACGAATATCTCATTAAATACGAATCTTTAATTCCACTATGAATAACAGTCACTCTTTCTGCACATCTTATCAGATTTTCACCAATTTACTTTTGTTACATACAATTTTACACAAATTGAAATATACCTACTTTAGATAACATAGTATATCATTCCCCTTTTAAATTTTATGTTTTGTTACATAGAAGAGGAAGGTTCCAAAAGGATATTCAAACTTATACGTCGAAGTCAAACTAAGAACGCCAATCCTGATCTAGTTGTGACACCCGTTCATAATGAAATTGACTTTCTGTTATAATCTTGTTTAAATATGAGTTTTGAAGTTTTGGTTTTTGTACCTCAACAAATTACTTTCTTCGAATGAGACCAATCGTATCGCTTTGTTTTTCGATAAAGCATTCGGTATTGTATAGTTATGCATTGTTTGTTGTCTGTGTAATGTTATACGAAAAATATTTTATGCATATAACTGTAAGGGAACACATGTTTAGATTATACATTGACATTAATTAGTAGAATGCGTCCAGTGCTGGACTCTGTGAAAACGTTGGCCTTTCTCAAAAGAAAGTAATGGATAACTGCCTCGGATGATAGATCTTCGCTATAGAAAGCAAGGGATTACTGTCTCTGATAAAAGTCTTTCACCAAGAAAGCATGGGTGGGTACAGATTCAGATGAAAGATTATCACGATAGAAGGGAAGGAATGCCTGTATCGGATAATAAGCTATCACCATACAAAGAAAGGGATTACTGTGTCGATTAATAAGTTATCACCATAAGAAGCAATTATAACTGTGTCGAATAATAGACTAGCACCATAGAAAGCAAGGGATAACTTTGTCAGATAAAAAATTATCACCGTAGAAAGAAAGGAATTGCTGTGTTGAAAAAAAGGCTTTCGTCACAGAAAGCAATGGATTGCAGTGACGGAGAAAAGACTTTCATGAAATAAAGCAAGGGTAGCTGCGTGTGATAAAAAAAATGTATAACAATTTATCTGAAGAATTGTAAATGCGATTAATTGGTATGCATAGGCTATTGCAATCTCCAAAAACGTGCCATCAAATTTAGGACATTTAAAGGTCATTTTGAAGGAGTTTATGTGTAAAGTTTGTTTGTAATAAGCTGAATTAAAGCCTCAATTTAAACTTCTGTATACTTAAACATTTTATAATTCTGATAAACTGCACTGAAAAGGATGTCCAATCAAAACATATATCAACATTTACAGAACTATTTACCTGTGTAGGAATTCATACCTGTGAGTATTCATTTTTTTAGAGGTGTTAGTTCATGTTTAAAACTTTTTTCGTTGCCATGACGGTCATCAATGAAATAAAATTTATCACAAGTGAAATGACCTAACATACAACATTGGAATGTGTATTTATACATTCTGTTAAGAAAAACGAATGCTCGTGTAACCATATAAAATAGATATTCTAAATGTCACAGTCTATACATGCATGTGTACAGCTATGAACACTTACGCTCCAACATACTGTCGATACCTAAATTTGATATTGCTCAAGGTCATGTTTTTATTCTCTTTATGTCTTCTGTATTACTAATTCCATTGGATGTGCACTTATTGATATTCTAGTCTGTGAAACATGATTTATATGTTAGTTGTAATTGGTTTTGCGAGTCTTCTTTAATCGGTATTTTGTGTGTTTTTTAAGTCTTTTTTATACATAATTTCCAACTGATTTAACAGATTGTTTTTATGTTGTACCGTTACATCACTGTCCGAGATAGGGGAGTGGCTAGCACTCGCAAACATGTTTAAACTTAGTACATTATATATGTGTCTGTTCCAATTCAGGAGCCAGTAATTCCGTGGTCGTTTGTCTTTTTGGTTTCCGTTTATCGTTTTCTTATAAATCAGGCCGTTGATTTTTTCGTTTGAACTGATTTACATTTTGTCATTTCAGGATCTTTTATAGCTGACAATATTTGTATGGTTTCTAGAAGTCCGTACGGTGACCTATAGTTGTTTGCATGTCCGTCGTATGATTTATTGTTGTCACATTAGCAAAATTACCACACATCATTTTTATATTGGTATAATAAACATTATGGTGTTTAATATACAAAGTTTTCCTATTTAATTAAATGGTCGTTAGTTAAATCTGAAGGCAAATATATTTGCTGCAACTCATTTAAAGCCTTCTTCTCTAATTAGAAAGGTGAATATGCTAGATATACTTACTGGAGGTGTGATGATATGATTGAAGCTGTTAATTTTCTCCTTGATAATATTTATGTACGTTTCGGTAATAAAGTTTATCGACAGATTGTAGGTATTCCTACGGGCACCAATTGCGCCCCTTTAATAGCAGACTTGTTCTTGTACTGTTATAAATCACAGTTGATGACCAAACTCAGTAAAGTCCCGTCTAAATTGCATTTAATTGATTAATTCAACAACACATACCGTTATCTTGATGATATTTTTTCGTTAAATAATCAAGAATTTTCTAAATATATTGCCGAAATTTACCCAAAGGAACTTACTATAAAAAAATCAAATATAAACGGTAATAACTGTCCTTTCCTAGATTTAGATATTTCAGTTTTACACGGGAAACTCTACGCTAAAATTTACGACAAAAGGGACGATTTTTCGCTCCCTATTGTTAATTTTCCTTTTTTGGATGGTTATGTTCCTTTGGCACCATCTTACGGTGTTTATATATCACAACTCGTTCGCTATGCCCGTGTCTGTTGTTACGTTTTGGATTTTAATGAACGTAATCTATGTATTACTGGTAAATTTTTAAAACAGGGATTTATTAACCACAAATTACTTTGTAAGCATCAAAATATGATGGAAACCAGTGGTCACAGATTTTCATAAAACTTTTTTAAATGAATGCTTAGTGATGTAGAAACATATTGGTCATAATAAAAAAATATGGTAATGTTCATTGCCATGGTAACTATAAAATTCATTTTCCGAAATTTACAGTAGAAACCTTTAAAGTCCAACTTAGTATTTCTTCAAAATGCACCGATAAAATCCCTTGAAATTAACAGAATACAAAGTTATCACATAATAGTTTTTATATGCCAAAAATCAGATATGTGTTATTTCAAATAAGAAAAATAATTCACCTTGGTCATATAGAAATTTGCTATCAGGAGTGCAAACTTCTACTAGAGTTATTTCCCTTAGTACAACTCTTTTGTTGTTTATGTTGAAAATGAAAGCAGCTTCAGCAGCAGACACACGAAATGGTTTGCAATTTTAACACAAACTGCACTACAGATGAGTGTTCTGATGATGTAACTGATATCAACACATGTGATTGCAATGACAAAAATATAATTTTAACTGAATCTGGTCTTTTGCCAAAGAATTTTACTGATTTTTATATATGCTCAACCCATTTTAACCAATTATTGAAAAGAAACTCGGATTTGAGAAGGAGAAAAGTATGTCAGCTTCCTACTTTGATAAGTGCTCATCCTCCAGTAGCATCACATTCTGTTGTTGGTGTTAAAAAGCCAAAGCCTAGCCGCAATATCACCATCAATGATGTAGAGAAAATTCAGAAGTGTTATGGCCTCACACTTCCTATTGGAACACGTAAGTTAAAAACTAAATTATATGTGACTGTTTATTTTTTTTAATTTCCAATTGCCTGTTTAATATTTTTTTAAATAACACTCTAGAAATACAAAAGAGCCCCCTTTTTGCTACCATTTGAATTTTTAGGGGGGGGGGGGGGGTGGAGATTTTGTCCTGCACTTCTTTTAGTTATAATCTGATATTATCTCTGTCTTGCCTTTTTATTTTTCACTCTATCTAGATAATGGGTCCTGTCTTATTATTTTATTAGTTTTATTCTGACTTTTTTTACATTATTTGTCATCCTGCCTTTTTTTTAACAAAGTTCCTCATCCTGCCTTTTTTTCCTCAAAACTCCTGATGCTCCTGTCCTGCCTTTTTTTTTTTATTTTATCCTTAACCCCATAAAAATCAAATGGAAGCTTCCTAATGAGGGGAGGATCCTACACTTGAGGTACTTATTTATGTATATATATAAAACTAAAAGAATACACAGACTTGGCTAGAAGAGCTGCTGATATGGGTTACATTTTGGAATGTCATATATCAGTGGGGTGCAATTTACATTCAATAGGTCATACACATGAACATGTTGATCTTTTCTGTTACATGTAAGATGTCTGTAGAAACTGTGTTTTGATCTTTTTGGATATGTTAACAGAAAAAGAAAATATTTGTGATAATCTTGTAAGCACAGCTAGTGTCTTTTTAGATATAATTGATGTTTGTTTTTTTTGTTTTTTTTTTGGGGGGGGGGGGGGGGTCCCTAAAATATGAGACAATTATAACAAGGTAAAGGATATTTTAGCCATTTGCATTATTTCAACACAAGAACAACATATTTATCATTTTTTGGGCACATTTCATACGAAAACAAGAAGATGTGGTATAATGGCCAATGAGTCAAATCTCCACCAGAGACCAAAAGACATCGACGTAAATAGCAAATGGTCATTGTAAGGTCTTCAACAATAAGCAAAACCCATAATCACATAGTCAGCTATAAAAGGCCCCCAAATGACAAATGTAAAACAATGCAATGACGGTGGTAAAAACTTTCTAAGTTAACACAAGGTTGGAATTTAGTTTAGTGCAAAAATTATATACTGTATACAGACCATAACATTTAAAAAATCTGTACATTTTATTTCTATAGTAATTAATTAAGTTTGAAAACTAAAAATGTGTTAATGCATTTAGCACATTCAGGATTTCAAAAAATGTAAACATAATACATCATTATTTTTCAGATTGAAATTTCAGCATCTGAATATACAGTTACATCAGAAGAGTCAGGAAGTCAAAATTATTTATCCCAGTCACAAGTAAGTAAAATCCTCAAAATAAGTATTCTATCACTTGTCATTGGTTGAAGTTTATATCATTAACACTTAAACATGATCAATGTGACATTTCAAAACAGAAATAAAAGCCGCATTTAAAAGACATGAATCCTGAAGTATATATTTTAGGCACAATTACCGGAAATTAAAAGGGAACAGAATTAAAAGAAGAACATTCAAAATGTATAAGCATTACATTGTTCAACGCCAGTTGTTTGTATTTATGCAAGATTGATTATCAACATATACATAATTCTTTACCGTTGCCTGCGTAATGTCTAGTGGCAAGTATTTGATGCATACTTAGAGTGAAAATACTTTAGTACAGTTAAATTAATCGTTTACTCAGTAAATTATTTTGTACATGTACTAATAAACTGCTGTGATGCCTTACTATATTAAACATGTATGAGGATAATGCAGGACTGGCTTCTTGCAGAGGTGTTTTCAAATTTTTTTCAACAGTTCTGACTTTTTTAAAAGCTCTTGAAATCATAAACTTGTTTTCAGGTTCTTTATTATAAATTTGGGGTTTCAAAAATCACTTAAAAACACCCAAACAAGAGACATTACGTCCTGTGGCAAATATTTCATGCATTTTTAGGACAACAGCATATAAACAATAAATATTATTGTTAAGTTCTTTAATGAGAGACGGAAGACTTCTTCCTGGGACTTTAGAATTGTAACATTTTTATTACAGGTATTTGGGAATAATTCTTATATGATTTGCATATTAGGGAATACGTTAATATGATTGGTCGAGAGGGCTTCCGGTAGTGGATCTTGACGTTGTTTATTTTTTTTCGATAGACGACGTTGACAGAACTACTTTTATTAACCAATGTAAACAAGATGGCTGCGATAATAACACAAACCGGTTCAATGTTAAAAATATTTATTTTCACTTAGCGTTCATCGTCAAATTAAATTATAAACACAAAACATTTATTTGAAAGAAAATAAGAAATTCTTTTAGGTTATTTTTTCAGATAACAAATTACATGGAGTATATTTTATGGTGTTAACCCAAAAAAATATTCATGCGCCAGGTCAATTCAAAATGCCATAAATTTACAATTTATTTGTAATAGAGGTTACGAGTGGAGAAATCAAATTTCTTATCTCTACATTCAAAGAATTATAGGGATTAAATGCATTTTTAAAGGAATTTATTGGTGTATAAACTGGACCAAGTCACTCACAAACATATCATAAAAGTCCTTTGGACTTTTATTTGTTTGTGAGTGAATTGGTCGAGTTTATACACCAATAAATTCCTTTAGAAAGTCGTTTAATCCTATATTGCGCCTAAATTTGTACAGTTATTAGGAATTTACACTAATCAGGACTCAGAACTTAATAATATTTTTCGGGAGCGAAGAAAGACCGCTTTATTTTTACGGGGTTTCAGTATAACAATCTTTTATTCTCCTTTATATACAAAGTACATTGTAATAGAGGCTGTTTAAAATTAAAGTTGGTGAAATTCTAACTGCTACTAAATAACAAGGGTATATGTATAAGAACTCAAATATTGACAGCATCCAAAAAGAGTTGAAAGGATTTTAATGTGCAGATAGTGGGAATAACCGACTTCCATTTGTCTATACAAAAAACAATAACAATGTGTTAGCTTTAAATTTATTTTATGAATGTATTTCAATCATTCATTATCAGTTTATTCGTCTGTTTTAACCATTCAGATTTCATTTTTGTTTTGAAAGGGAAGTAACTCCTTACTAACCCTATATGGTTGCTAACCCTATATGGTAACTAACCATGTATTTTTTAGGACACCCTATATCAAATATATATAGTCACCACGTGTAATTCATTAACCAATCATATCCCCATAAATCTATAGAAGGTAAGATAAAATATATTATTGCCACTACAATTATCTGAAATAGAATTTGTATATTTCTCATTGAGTTTCCATTGACAAAAGCTTCTGTATGAAAATAAGGAAATGTTGTTAAGTTGTGATTAGACAACTATTCACCAAGTTGTGTCCCTTTATAATGTTACATGCAAGCAGGGGCATCATCTATGACCCATGGGCCCATTCCTCATTTATTTAATTGTAATCAGTTTTATACTTCTTTGCAGCAATCAGTCAGAAGTTATGAACGTGGCAGCTACTTGACATCTTTGAATGATTTCCTGTCATCAGTCAGATTGCAGGAATTCTCAGAAAAAGAAAGAAAAACATGGCAGTCCTACACATTTAAAACAAGAAACACCTACAAAGAAAGAATTGATGAGATTATGAAATTGATAATAGGAATTTTATTTCCAAACGATGTTGACGAAGTAATTGAAGATATAAAATGTCCCAAGCAGTTAAATGAAGAAAACAGAACCGATCATACAGAGTACAAAGATATTGTAACTTCATACAGAAAAGCAGAATCCTGGCAACAAGGGAGACAAGTTCTTTCAGTTCTTGTCTCAAGAATGTCCTTCAAGGACTTACTGTCTCTACTACCAGAAGTAACATCCCATCGCTACTATGCTGCTCTCAGTCATTCAAAGAAAATAGGGCCAGCACTTCCAATTCCCGAGAAAAAACTGCATTAGACAAAAATTAGATCCTGAAAGATTAGACTCATTCTTAGATTTCATTACATCCAGTCATGTTGTCCGTGATCTACCGTTTGGGGGAAAAAAACTGAAGTTTTCAGATGGAACAGTCCACAATTTACCTAATGTTGTACGTTGCATGGGTTCAGCAGACATAATACAGCAGTACAAAGCATACTGTCAGGAAAATGAAGTTTTACTTTTAGGTAAGGCCAAATAAAGATATATATATAGATAAATAGAAAAATTAAAGGATATCATATGGGGTATCCATCCATGACACAAAATCTATAAAAAAAAACACAAACAAAAAGCAAAGGAACAGTGCATTTTAATATTGCTGTTCTTTATCTCAAAGTCACAATGACACCTTCAACAAGGTGCAGGTTTAAGATGGCTCCTAGCACTTTCTTGGCTGGAATTCTATGCAAAAATAATTTTGATAGACTTTGTAAAATGCAACACCACCTGAAGTAGGCCTTGTTAAAAAACACATACTTGAAAGAAGTACATATTTAAAACAAGTTAGTTCCTTCGCATAGGTGTAAATTTAAAATTATGTGTAGAATATATTTAAATAGTAAGGTATCAGATGAAAGGTGAAGGACTGGTTATCCTTGTAGAATACATATTGACTAATAACATTGAATATTGAAAAAATGTATGAATGAATTCTAAAATGGATCAAATCTACCCTATTTGTGCTACTTGGACATAAAACAATAATCAATCAATCTAAACTTGTTGTTACTGTTTTTTAATAGGTGACAGTACGATGTTCAAAATACTTGCCCAGTGTGGTGCTAAAGTCAGAAAAAGCCTTGAAGGACTGGATTATTTTGTAGCAGAAGGAGGACGTGCCTTTATTACCCTTCAAGATGTCTTAGACAAATTGCTGACCTACGACGCTATATCACCTGATTACCACAAAAGTTTTCAGGCACTGTTCTTACAATCAAAGCAGTATTTAAGGACTGACTATAAGGTTTGTTAGAATTTATTTAGGACACAATTAAATGATAAATAAGTCCATTTATGTGATAAATTCGAAATTGCCATATGTTTTTATGTTTTTTACTTTATTCAGTTTTCTAATCGTTGGGGTGCCAGAATAATATAAATTACATAAATAAAGATTTGCATTCATCCATTACAGAAATTTCATTTAGATTAAATAAACCCTTGATTTTTGTGTCGCCTTGAGGTAGTCAAAAAGCGACTCATACGTATGCTGTTGCCAGCATTGGTGGCATAGTTTGTGATGACATCTAGTTTATTTGCAAACCACTAGTATTAGGCCAATAAAATTGGAACAAATGTAGTTCATTTGTTATTTTATATACCTTCACAGTAATTATACCCCAAGCAACAAGTTGCGGAGGGTATAATGTTTTTGACCTGTCTGTCTGTCAGTCCGTCTGTCCGTCCGTCAGTCTGTCAGTCCTATTTCTTGTCATCGCAACTCCTCTCAAACCACACAACAGAATTTCACGAAACCTTTTTAGATAATAAGGACATACTATGTAGTTGTGCATATAGACAGGAAATTACGATTCATTTTTTTGTCTTAAGTGCTACGCCCCTTTGAACTTATTTGCTTCAATGTACTACTGCAAAAGTTTGTCATTGCAACTCTTCTGAAACCACACAACAGAATTTCATGATACTTTGTAGATAATAAGGACATACTACGTAGATGTGCATATCGACAGGAAATTATGATTCAATTTTTTTTCTAGGAGTTATGCCCCTTTGAACTTATTTGCTTCAATGTACTTTTGCAACAGTTTGTCATCACAACTCCTCTGAAACCACACAACAGAATTTCATGAAACTTTGTAGATAATAAGGACATACTGTGTAGATTTGCATATTGACAGGAAATTATGATTCAATTTTTTTTTCTTATACAATTTTTTTTTCTTACACTTATTTTATTTCTCCAATGACAATGTGGGGACGCGGGGTATGTGAGCGCGCTCACTAAGGTTCTTTAATTTAAAATATTTTCAGATTCATATTTCAAAGGCAAGAGAAGTAGCAGATCACTGTATGTTGTATGCCCTCAGTGATGAAAAAGATGAGGCATTTATAGAACAATGTTCCCACAATCACCAGATGGTCTGTGAAAGCTGTGAGCAGTTGAAGGAGACCATTGCTGCTTTAGAAAAGATCTTTGTTACTTCCTCAGTAGATGGAAAAGAGGATGAGATGAATGACCTTAATTTTAGGGTAACTAATTATATTATTTATATGAGCACTTTAAATGTAAAAAAAAGTTTCGATTACATTTACATCTGATCCTTCAAGGAAATTCATTACCCTTATCTATTATTGTTACTTATTAGTTTCTTTTGAATATTTCCTCCAACTATATGAATATATCCATTTTTTTTCAAAATACAATACTATCTTTTTCAATATGTTAGTTTATGATCAACCTTCCTATTTGACTGGCTATCATTCTGCATAAAATTTTCACTACATAATATAACAAAGGTGTACTTGACTAGATGGAAAGAGCAGCTGTATCATATTTAATTATTTTCTTATTAACTTATGAATTAAATAAAAAGAATCAACTAGTTCAGGATATGTTTAATCAGAGAATATTCAATTTTGAAGTGTGAATGAATCTTCACTAGGCTAATTGAATTTGCAACAGTAAAGTCTACGATTTATGTTTACACTGCTTTAATTAATCCCCTCAGAAAACACCAAAGAAAAAGCATACATTTTAGAAAACTGACATCAGAGATCAGAATAAGATATCACCTAACTGGTCATACCTAAATTTAGAATAAAAATTAAAAATATGAATTGATCTTTTTTAGGTACAACAAGCAACAAGAAATATTTTCAGCCTGAAAAGGCACATAATAAGATGTAAAAACCAGGACTTAGCAAAAACTCATCTATTTGAAACTATGCCTATAGATGAAGTTTTACTGGTATGTGACTGGGCAATGAAGTTTTTGCCCCGAAAGTTTCGTGAAGATCAGTGTGATTGGTTCGGAAAGAGAGGAATCCCATGGCATATATCTATAGCCTTTTGTAGGAAAGATGATGGAAGCATTGGTAGCCTTGGATTTGTTCATTTGTTTGCAACGCAAATATCCCATGTTAGTACAACTTTTAACATGAATAAGCTATAATATTTATGTACAAATAATTATTTTTTACCGTAAAGATAAAATATTGAAAAATATATGGTAGGGCAAGTAGGAAATTTGTTGCAAAATTCAGCTATTAAAAAGAAAGAATAGAGGGTAAATGTACATGAGACAACATCCCAACGTATAACATAGTTTAAATTAGAATAAATCTGAAAGGCACACAATAAAGCAAGCTGAAGATGGTGTAATATACCTAGCAGACAACTTGTAAAATATTTTTAAAATATGTAAGAGGAACCATACCATGACAATGAGAAGGAATATCACATAAAAGAAAAAAAGCAAAGACACTGGCTAATGAATTGAATCTTGCCATTGGTGTGATTAAATGTGGTCGGTAAACCGATGTGGTTGTGAGATATCTATTATCTCATTTATCATATTCATAATGCAATTTGATACACTAAAAATAAAAGACAAACTAGTGAACATGTATATCATGAATTAATGTTGAATTAAACATTTGCTTGTTAATTTTTTTTTTATCTTGAGGTTGGTATCATTAATCAAATAGTGTATGTACATGTAGGACTACCCTAAACAAATCTGTTTTTGAATGCCTGTCCATTTACTTGACATGATACCGTCTCCTGAAAACAATTTAGTATCTGTGCTCTTACTTCAGTTGTAGTTGATAAATGCTTATGAAATGGATATTTTATAAAGCGGTTTAAAGGTTGTGATTTATTTTGTTTATAATCTTTTAACAGGACAGCCGAGTAACAGCCAGTATTATCCAAGATGTTATGGACAAAATTAGAGAAATCAACACCACAGACATCAAATTTCATGTATGGTCTGACAATGCTGGTTGCTACAAGTCTACAGAGATGCTTTCATTCTTATTCCATTCAGGGATTATCCTGTCATATGACTTCTGCGAATCCCAGAATGGGAAGGGACCATGTGATCGCACTGCCGCAACCATCAAATCTTCTATTAGAAGATATGTAAACCAGGGTCATGATGTACTTACAGCACAATCAATGAAAAAGGTACAGATAGTTTTAAAAAAACAATAAGTTTCATGTCTTAAAAATCTCAAGGTTACAGCTGTAAATGTACTTTGAAATTCAGAAATTATTGCGAGGTTTTTATTAATGGGAATAATTTGACTGGGTGAGTATAGTATTAATAAGAACTCTCATTCTGATATTTTAAACATACGTCTGTATGCACCTTTTGCAGAAATGGCAGTAATTTATCTCGCAATTTCATTCATTCTTCAAAAATTGCAATAACAAATGCACACAATAATTTCTTAGTTTACAGTAATCTAACAATGTCAGCCCCAAGCAAAACAGTAATCAAGGTTTATTATAAAAGATCCAGAAGAGCATGAGTGCAGCTTTAAAAATATTTAAATCATGTGGAAACCAGTGAGCAACAACAATAACTAATTTGGTTTTATAAAAGCTGAAGGAATTAGACCCAATTATGGGACAGCTGAAGTTACTTTATTACTCTATATAAATATAAAACAAGAGTGCACACACTGAAATGTCTCGCCTTCTTTACTTATCATTGATATTATGTTGATAGTCCTAAATATAAAGCTTTATTACAACTGTCACATAAACTTATTATTAACCAAGTTAACTAAACATTGACCAATGAACCATGAAAATGAGGTCAAGGTCAGATGAACCATGCTAGGCAGGCATGTACAGCTAACAATTCTTCCATACAACAAATATAGTTGACCTATTGCTTTTAGTTTAAGAAAAACAGACCAAAACACAAAAACTTAACACTGAGCAATGAACTTTGAAAATGAGGTCAAGGTGAAAAAAAAACTGTGTGACTGACAAATAGATCATAAAATATTTCCATACACCAAATATAGTTGAACTATTGCATATAATATTAGAAAAAAAGACCAAAACTCGACACCTGCCCGCTAGACATGTACACCTTACAATCATCCCATACACCAACTATAGTAGGCCTATTGCATACAGTATAAGAAAAACAGACCAAAACACAAAAACTTAACTATAACCACTGAACCATGAAAATGAGGTCAAGGTCAGATGACACCTGCCAGTTGGACATGTACACCTTACAGTCCTTCCATACACCGAATATACTAGACCTATTGCTTATAGTATCTGAGATATGGACTTGACCACCAAAACTTAACCTTGTTCACTGATCCATGAAATGAGGTCGAGGTCAAGTGAAAACTGTCTGACGGGCATGAGGACCTTGCAAGGTACGAACATACCAAATAGAGTTTTCCTATTACTTATAATAAGAGAGAATCTAACATTACAAAAAATCTTAACTTTTTTTTCAAGTAGTCACTGAACCATGAAAATGAGGTCAAGGACATTGGATATGTGACTGACGGAAACTTCGTAACATGAGGCATCCATATACAAAGTATGAAGCATCCAGACCTTCCACCTTCTAAAATATAAAGCTTTTAAGAAGTTAGCTAACGCCGCCGCCGTAGCCGCCGCCGGATCACTATCCCTATGTTGAGCTTTCTGCGACAAAAGTCGCAGGCTCGACAAAAAACAAGAATCAGTATGATTGCCCATGATACAACTCTCCACCGGAGACCAAATGACATAGAATTTATCAATTATAGGTCACTGCAAGGCCTTAAACAATGAACAAAACCCATACTTCAATGTGAGCTCTTTTTATGCCCCATTTATGGGCATTGTGTTTTCTGGTCTGTGCGTTCGTCCGTCCGTTCAATCGTCTGTTCGTTCGTCCGTTCGTCCAGCTTCAGGTTAAAGTTTTTGGTCAAGGTAGTTTTTGATGAAGTTGAAGTCCAATCAACTTGAAACTTAGTAAACATGTTTCCTATGATATAATCTTTCTAATTTTAATGCCAAATTAGAAATTTTATCCCATTTTCACGGTCCACTGAACATAGAAAATGATAGTGCAGATGGGGCATCCCTGTATTTGGGACACATTCTTGTTTGTTATGATTTTGTATCTATTATGTTATGAGGTTTTTATAATTTAAGTAAAGCTTTACAACCAAAAAAAAAAGCCAACAGTTCTAATCTGCTCTAGTTATTTTTCTTCTTATAGGCATTTACAATAATTTCACTTTATTTACAGGCAATAGACAAGTCAGCCAAAAATGTAAAGTACATAGTTCGTGTTATAGAAGGAACTGAGTGTAGGAAAACCAAGTACACTCCTATACCAGCAATATCATCTTACAGTAACTTCACATTTAGCGCACATGGCATTACTGCATGGAAGGCATACCAAGTTGGCACAGGTAAAAAGATAAATATTATTTTCATAATTCCCCTAAACATGAATATAAAAAAAGAAGATGTGGTATGATTGCCAATGAGACAACTATCCACAAAGAGACCAAATGACACAGAAATTAACAACTATAGGTCACTGTACGTCCTTCAACAATAAGCCCATTTGGAGTCATCATTTTCTTATCTTTTCTTTTTATAATTTCCTAATTATGATCTCAAAACACTGATTTTCTATTGTTAGATGTAAGCAGTCAATAGACCATAATTTTATATATATGATTCAAGTATTGTCTTTTGCGATTATGTTGAAAACAACCTCACATATTTTAGTTTGCTCCAAGTCAGAATATAGTGTCCAAATATTATTTATGTCTTCCTGCAAACCGTTTCCTTTATGTGGGTTAGCAGGTTTAAGATCCAAATGAACAAGTTTGCTGGCACTATTTAATTCTCTCCCTAACATGGGACAGTGGTGTAACAGTACAACATCAGAACAAACTATAAAAAACAGTTCTTTCTTGTCAGATTGATCAATACAAAACAAAAAACAACTGACAATATAGACACAGACTAGACGTGGCAGGGATTATATATATCCAGCACAACACAAAAAAGACTCAAAGTAAAGTTATATTCATTTCACACATACATTTCATGTCCATAGCTACAATATAGCCAGTTCATGTTGACCAAGTGTAAAACAGCAACAATCAATCAATTAATCAATTATTGTTTGAACAGTATTCTCAAATTACAAGTTATATAATTTTATTTTCTACATTTTAGGAAAGCTAATACCTTCATCTAATATTCCAACCGTTGAAAAGTGTATTCTCAATACTTCATGTTCAGAGATAGAGGGTGAAATTGATGTGGTTTTTCACCAACTGCCACTTAAAGCTGAAGAGGAAGAAAACACCATAACATGTGCAAATGAGGGATGCACACTGTCTTTTTCTTCTTTTCATGAGCTGTCAAGCCACTTAATGTTCGGCAAGTGTGAGTTTGAATTTAGGTGCCAGTTTAGTAATGGATGTGACATTACTAAGAAGACTTACATTACAAAGATGTCTAAGTCTTTTTCAACCAACTTTCAAGTTTCATCAGCAGGACTGACAGTTGGAATTGATGACAACTCAGATTTAGAACTTGGCTGGGCATTGAAAGAAGAAAGGAAGAACAAACGATTCAATGTAAACCAAAAAGAATATCTTACTGAAAAGTTTAATAAAGGTCTAAAAACTGGAAGAAAAGAAGATCCTTTTTTGGTATCAGAGGAAATGCTGACTGAGAGAAAAGAAGATGGAAATAGAAGATTTTCATATGATGAAATCCTTTCTGTACAGCAAATCACAAGTTTCTTTTCTAGAATGAGCAGGAAGAACAAATCATTTGATGATTCCGTTGATGCATCAAGGGAAGAAACTATAACTATCAGGAGAGAACTAACTGCAGATGAACTTAATTAAATTTTGTTTACCAACTTTATGTAGAAAACTAAAAATATTTTATGAACTTATAATATGGTATGATTGTCAATGACACACCTCTCCATAAATGACACAGAAATTAACAACTATAGGTCATTGTACAGTCTTCAACAATGAGCAAAGCCCATACCGCATAGTCAGCTATAAAACGGCCACAAAATGACAAATTTAAATAGGTTAAAGTGAAATTGCAAAAACCATTTGAGCCAATTTGTCTTTCTAAAAAAACACCAATGAGACATCAGATTTCTATTTAGATAGTTATATATATATATGATTCGACTGACTGGCATCAGCAACTTTTCATGCTGCACCTACGATAAAAAGGGGAATTACGTTTTCTGGTCTGTGCATCCGTATGTCCCACTTCAGTTTAAAGTTTTTGGTCAAGGTAACTTTTGATGAAGTTGAAGTCCAATCAACTTGAAACTTCCCTATGGTATGATCTTTCTAATTAAACTGCCAAATTAGATTTTTGACTCCAAACTCACGGTCCATTGAACATAGAAAATGATGGTGAGAGTTTCCGGTATAAGTTTTTGGTAAAAGTTTTTGTTCAAGGTAGTTTTTGGATGAAATTGAACTCCAATCAACTTGAAACTTAGTACACATGTTCCCTATGATATGATCTTTCTAATTTAATATGTCTAAATGCCAATTTAGATTTTTGACCCCAATTTCACAGTCAACTGAACATAGAAAATGATAGTGCGCATGGGGCATCTGTGGAGGATTGACACATTCTTGTTCTTGCTTAAATTAATAGTGAGATTTGGATTTCCTATGATATTTCCAACCAAAAACAGAGAATGACTTGTGTTTTGTTTGCACAGTGTTTTAACATCAGTGCAAGGCTGTAGTATATTATTTCAAAGTTTAAGTGAAGTGAGCTGCACCATGTATTCATTTTCACAGGTTCAGACTAAATTTACACTGAAAATTCCTAATTTTACCACAAAACTGTAATTTACAGCCTCTTGATATTTGACTAGGTCTTAATCTTCACTGACATGGTAACCTTCACAACACCCTTTTGTTTGATATGTGCTTTTTGAAAGGATACCGGAGTAAATCTTTGTATGCAGTAGCTATAAAATACATATTTTTGGGGATTTTTTTTTTTTTTGCTTAGGGTCATATAAATGGTTACTATGGTTACCACAATCTTAAATTGACATTTATCTCTTCAAATAGTGTTAAATCAGTATTTAGATCCAATTGAACTAAATTTTCTTCATTTATAACTTAAAATTTGCAAATTTCACAAAAATTTTTTTTTTTTAGATATTTTCATTCATTGCCATGGCACCGCATTTTTTTTTTTTTTAGAGAAATAACACTATTCCAATTTTTTGAAATTTTGGACTTTATGCTTTATGCATTATATATGCATTATATTAAGAACATCTGTCGGTGCATTTTTTCACAGTCTATTATTAAAATTGGTAAAAAATACAATTTTCAAGAAATTCAAAAAAAGTCAAAATCAAGGTTTTTGGCAGCATAAAAAAACTGTGATAGCAACTTTTTTTTATTATGTTATTTATTGTTATTATATGCCTAGATCATTGTCTTCATGATGACAAATAAAGAATATGACTTCAGAACAGTAATCTTTATGTTTTACATGCAAAGAAAACGGTAATTTCACTGATTGAAAGTCTCTTGTAGAAGCCTTATTTGGTGATGTATGGTAACCATGGCAACCGCAACTCTGTGTATCAATATTATACCAAATTTCGAACAAGGGTGACATATGAGTATTAACTACCAAGTTTCATTGAAATTTGAGGTCCTCACTTTCCCACCCTATATCAGAAATTTTGATGCTTACAGAGAATGGCTCTTAAAACCTTTACTAAATTCTACCATAGATATAAAGATTTGGTTTTGAAGTTTGGTTGTACCTGTAGAAAACTTATTTCAAACGGGATAACACATCCTCATTTTTACAGAGATGTTGTTTTCCGATCCCGGAAATTTAGAAAAGTTCCCGGTAAACTTATCGATCCTTTAGATAAACTTATTCGAAAAGGTTACCAATTCAACATTGTAATTAGATCTTTGAATATTGTTTATATTGGTATTAATATTGATTTTGTTATCAGTAATTTAAAATCAAACTAAATATTTGTGTTATATACATATGCACATTCATGGCTCTACAATCTGTCGGTACCTGTATTTTGGCATTGCACAACGTCATGTTTTACTCTGACTGTTTATGACGTCTTTACACTAAATCCACTGGATGTTGGATGTGTACTGATTGATAATTTATTCTTAGATGCAAGATTTTTTTTTATTAGTTGTTATTGGCTTTGAACTAGCTGTCGGTAACTGTGAGTACTGTCAGATCTGTGCTAAGTGTCTTTTTGTTGTTGGGATGTACAAGTACCCGTCCACGTCCACTTTGTGTTTTTGTTGAATGTATTTCTATTTGTATCCATCTGATGAGTTAAGCCTTTATCAACTGATTTTTATGGTTTGTTCTTATGTCGTAATGTAACACCACTGTCCAAGGTTAGGGGAGGGTTGGCGCCTTCAAACTAGTTTAACCCCGCCACATTTTGTATGTGCCTGTTATTCAGTGGTTGTCGTTTGTTGCTGTGTTTCATATTTGTTTTTCGTTCATTATTTTGTTCTTAAATTAGGCCGTTTGTTTTCTCGTTCGAAATTTGTCATTTCGGGGCCTTTTATAGCTGACTATGCGGTATGAGCTTTGCTCATTGTTGAAGGCCGTACGGTGACCTATAGTTGTTAATTTCTGTGTCATTTGGTCTATTGTGGAGAGTTGTCTCATTGGCAATCATTCCACATCTTCTTTTTATAAACACTTATGAAATACATTTTCATACATTCAAGACATTTGGACATAACACCATGCATTGTATATAAGAATCCTTAATAAATCAAATAGACGAAATACTTAATCAAAATTGAGTGAAAAATTTACCTATGATATAATTATCCCAGCAAATAAGACCGATATTGTATAGGCAGACGTATTGATATTCTTATACATAGCATCCATCTAAAATGAACATTTAGATTTACTAAAAAGAAAACACCGCGTTTTAAAACAACATTCAAAAGATCAGGGTGGGTTCTTGTACTGTTCGACACTAACTCCAATTATATCATTGAATAGGTTTTTGGTGGGGTTCGTGTTGCTCAGTCTTTGGTTTCCTGTGTTGTGTTTGTCTACTGATGTTTTTCTTTTGGTGTTTTCTTTTGTCTTTTTTGCCATGACGTTGTCAGTTTATTTTCGACTTGTGAGTTTGAATGTCCCTTTGATATATGTGGCCTCTCTTTTAATCGTATGTGATTAATTGACATGTGTTGATTTTAAAAAGAGGATCATTGAATCATTCACCGACACTTTTTTGTACTTTTCATTCTTTCTTATGCTAAAGATAACAAGGAGGTCTCAAGAGCCTGACTCGCTCACCTGTAATTTTTTGCTTAAATCTTTCATCAATGAATATTTTTTGCTTTTCAATATGTATTAATGAGTGGCTTAAAAATCCCATTTATATGTTCTTTGTATCTGTCATATTTTCTTCAAAAGCAAATAAATGCATTTTACCCCTATGTTCCATTTTAGCCATAGTGGCTATGTTTCTTGACGTACAAGGGAATAAAATACAAAATTTATACTAGATACTCTGAAACTCATTCAGCCTAAGTTTGGCTGATGTTGATTCAGCAGTTTCAAAGGAGAAAATTGTTTAAAATAAGCAAACTCGATGAACAAATTGTGAAAAATTGTCTTTAAAGGGCAATAACTCCTTTAGGGGTCAGTTGACAATTTTGGTCATATAAAAACTTATGTGTAGATCTTACTTTGCTGAATATTTTTGCTGTTTACAGTTTATCTTTATCTATAATAATATTCAAGATAATAACCGATAACTGCAAAATTTCCTTAAAATCATCAATTGAGGGACAATAACATAAAAACCAGATTACCGATTTGGCTGATAATTTCAGGGCAGGTAGACCTTGACCTAATGAATACTTTAACTTCTTGTCTGATTTGTTCTAAATGCTTTAGTTTTTGAGATATAAGTCAAAAACTGCATTTTACCTTATGTTCTATTTTTAGCCATGGCGGCCATGTTTTCTGAGGAAACAAAAAATAAAATATAAACGTCATTCTAGATAACCTAAAAATCATTCAGCTTAAGTTTGGTTTAATTTGGTTCAGTAGTTTCAGAGGTGAAGATTTTTTAAAGTTAGAAAACATGATAAACAAATTGTGTAAAATTGTCCTTAAAGGGCAAATACTCCTTAAGGGGTCATATAAAACTTATTTGTAGATCTTACTTTGCTAAACATTTTTGCTGTTTACAGTTTATCTTTATCTATAATAATATTGAAGATAATAAGTAAACCAAAAACTGCAAAATTTCCTTCAAATTACAAATTTACTGGGTTGTTAGATTTATTTGAAAATTTCAGGGCTGATAGAACTTGACTTAATGAACATTTTTATCCCATGTCAGATTTGATTTGCTCTAAATGCTTTAGTTTTTGAGATAAAGCCAAAAACTGCATTTTACCCCTATGTTCTATTTTAAGCTATGGTGGCCATGTTTTTTTACGAAAAAGAAAATAAAACACAAACTTTATTCTAGATACCCTAAAGGATCATTCAGCTTACGTTTGGTTGGAATTGGTTCAGTAGTTTCAGAGGAGAAGATGTTTGAAATAGTTTGCGGATGACGACGACGACAATGGACGACGACGGACGCCTAGTGATGGCAAAAGCTCACCTTTCCTTTGGAAAGGTGAGCTAAAAACAATGGCAGTATTGTAGTCAAGAGTGATTTAAACGTTATTTCCTTTTAGACCAGTATCTTTATATCGTTTCCAAAAATTATATACTGTGCATAAAGAAATAAAGACGTCACTTGCACAGACTTTGTCATCTACAGGTTGAACATAAAAAACGGTCAATTAGTATCACTGCTGAGGAGATAAATACAATCGCGGACGCTGATATTATTCGGCTTAGAAAATATGTGTTAAAAACATATGTATGGATTGCATCAATGCGACAGCAATCCAACAACAGACGATAACTCATATGACATGTCTTCTTACGTAAGACAACTAAGCTTAAAAGACTTACGTTTACTTACCCCATTTATTACAAAGGCATAATATTGACGGACGGATGTTAGCGCATCAGTCTTCTTTTCAGAAGTTGTTGGCGCCTTACTTTGACGGTACCAACTAAAAAAAATTTAAAATCTAGTATCTAAAGGAGTTTGTCATTGGAAGACTTAATTTCCGTCCGTAATATAAAGCTCTGTCACTTATGTTGCACATTCACTCGGGAAAAAAGCTCCATGCATATATTAACGGTGGAGTTGTAGCAACAACCATTTGCAAAGAGACAAACAAATACTCAAAGATAAATAATTTTATCATCAATGTTTATATATTTTGACGTCATGATGATATCATTAAAAAAGTCATTTGTTTTGGTAAACATTTTTATTTCGTTTTTGTCAGATACATTACTGAGTAACAAAAAAGTTTGGTTACAATTATTTTAATTTTATATATCTCAACAATAAACTAAACTAAACTAAACTAAAATAAAATAAATTTTTGTAACAAAGCTGTTGAGGCATATGTTGAAAACGCTGACCATTTTTCTTAAGTTGTTGTTTTTAAATACAACAGAAAATTCAACCCACAAAAAAGTTCAACGATCTTTGTGTCGAATATAACATTAACAATGTTCTTTTGGAATGTTTTATGTGGACTTTGACATCAATTGTATGTATGTAGGGAAGTACACAACAGTAATTTCAATAAAACGATTTATCTGAATCTGCTCTTTTCAAGACTTTTTCAACGACGAAAGCAAACTCCCTGACACCATTCTAACAAATATAATCAATGCGGTGCAAGTTTGACTCCACGAAAACTTAATTTTTAAATTTCCGCAACTTCAGAAAATGTTGAATTAAAGCTTTTCAATTGAACTATATGTTGCTAATCTTATTTTACTCAGTAAAGTACACGTTGATAATTGCTCAATTTAATTTTGATGGAATTTTAAGGCCAGCCTCAATCGTTGGTGAACCATCTTAACTTGTCAGTTTACTTACTAATCATAAATAGAATAGTCACAAAATATTAAGAGTTCTATTTGGTTCAATCCGGTGGCTCTTTTCTTTCGATGGCGTTTTCTTACTGGTAAACCTTTCAATCTATCACCTACAACGACATTTAATTACAGGAGAATGGATACATCAGTTTACTGGCTGATTGTTGGACATGTCAAATGTCAAGCGTGTGAAAAAATATTCAGAAAGAAGTGAAATAGACCATCTTTCACCAAATTTAAGACTTCATGGTGATCAGTTTTTAAGTCGTACAATATATTTAATGTTGTATATAAGATATCAATAAATTGAAACAACCTTATTCGTCAATATGACAGTTTATAAATGATACATAGCTGAGAGGGTGATAGAGCGGATTTTTACCTAAAAAAAACATCGTCAAGCTTGGCTTCGCCTCGGTTGACAAAGGTTTATCGAGGGGTAACGATCTGCTCTATCAGCCTCTCATCTATGTGTTATTTTATTTAGTATACTTGATGTTCTGTTACTACAGTATGAATTTCAAGTTCAAAGTAATGTACTTTGACGTCTTGTACAACCGCCTGTATTTAATCAAGCGCGCAATTGATCAAGCGTCTCCATAAAGGGTAATAGAGTATTAGCCATGGGACATAGTAAATTGATTCCTTCAAATTAACTAATAAAAATCTGGTATTGAACATGAAGTATTAAGATAACAATGGTTGCAAAGCTCTGATTCCTTGCCCGGCTTTGGCTATACTTTTTTTACCTTTTTGGTTTATAGCTCTTCATCCTTTTAAAATGCTTTGGATTTTCGAATATTTTGGCCTCGAGCATCTCTGAAGAGACATTGATTGTCGAAATGCGCATCAGGTGCAGAAAAATTGGTACCGTTTATGTTATTAATACCACTATGTCGATGCCTCTGCTGGTGGACTGATAGTCCCCGAGGGTATCACCATCCCAGTAGCCAGTACTTCGGTACTGTCATGAAAATATGGATTTTGTGTTATTACAATTTGCTGTTACAAATTTTTTGAAATGATTTAAATTAAGGAATGTATCTCCCTCATGCAAAGCTCTGATTCCTTGCCCGGCTTTGGCTATACTTTTTTGTTCTTTTTGGTTAATAGCTCTTCATCCTTTTAATAAGCTTTGGATTTTCAAATATTTTGGCCTCGAGCATTACTGAAGAGACATTGATTGTCGAAATGCGAATCTGGTGCAAACAAATTGGTACCGTTTATGTTATTACTATTTTGATTTTTTTTTCTTCAGTCGGGCGTTGCAATAGCTGGCTGGTGTTTTTTATTCCATTGTTAAAAAGGTTTGTGAATTTCTATATCCTCTTGTATTTATTACCAAAATAATTTTAAAATAACTAAGGGTACAACCTCCGTTAGGTAGAACACTTCAAGGTTGTTTTGAATAGACCAGAACCAATAAACGAATTTCAGGGAGCACCACAATTTGAAGATCTAGATATTAGCACTGACCCACCATCTAAAGAAGAAATAACAAAGGCAATTAAATCCATGAAATCTGGAAAGGCAGCAGGCATAGATGGAATTCAAGCTGAACTACTGAAAGCTGACATCAACACAGCAACAGTGATACTACATGATCTCTTCAAAGACATATGGGAAGAAAATAAAATACCTGAAGACTGGGCAAAAGGTCTTATCGTTAAACTAACGAAGAAAGGTGATCTTGGGATTTGTAACAACTGGAGAGGTATAACATTACTCTCAATCCCAAGTAAAGTGTTTTGCAGAATACTGTTAAACATGATAGACTCCAAACTGGATAACAGGTTAAGACAGGAACAAGCTGGGTTTAGGAAAAGGAAAGGATGTATTGATCAGATCTTTGCTCTAAGGAACATCATTGAGCAGTGTATAGAATGGAAGACACCGGTACCTCTATATATCAACTTTATTGATTTCAAGAATGCATTCGACAGTTTACATAGAGAGACTCTTTGGACAATCCTCATATCATATGGAGTACCACACAAGATCGTAACACTGATAAAATGCTTTTATACCAACTTTAAATGGGCTGTGATACTTAACAACAAGGAAACTGACTGGTTTGAAGTAAAATCTGGAGTACGACAGGGCTGCAACATCTCACCCATCTTATTCCTGGTTGCCATTGACTGGGTGATGCGAAAGACCACCAGTGACAAAAAAAGAGGCATCACATGGTCAATGTTTATAACCCTAGAGAACCTTGACTTTGCTGATGATATAGCACTCCTTTCATCAAACCAAGACAATATGCAGGAAACGACAAATCGGCTCAGCCATTTTGCAAGAAATGAACGCAAAAAATACTCAAAAAGTGCGACTTAACACAACATCAAACTTAAGACTAAAAGCTGAGGGCACAGAAATCCAACAGGAAGATACATTTACTTATCTAGGAACTGTGGTTAGTACAGAAGATCCAACACAAAAAGATATTAAAAGAAGCTAGCTAAGGAAAGATCTGCATTTCAAAGACTACGACCCATTTGGAAGTCCAAACAATACAACAGGAAAACAAAGATAAGGCTATATAACAGTACTGTTAAATCTGTCCTTCTGTATGGAAGTGAATGCTGGAGAGTAACGAAAACAGATATGAGATCGATCTCAAGTTTCCACCACAATTATCTGAGGCGAATCTGCAAAATCTTCTGGCCAAATTGTATTTCAAATGAACATCTCCTTGAAAAGACTAAGTCCTCATGTATTCTGAAAGAAATTCGACAGAGGCGCTTCAGATGGCCGGGGCATATTCTCAGGATGCCTGTATCCAATATCACCAGGATAGCTCTTAGATGGACGCCCCAGGAGAAGAAACCTAGAGGAAGACCCAAAACCACCTGGCGTCGAACGATTGGAGCAGAACTAAAGGAGCTTGACATGACCTGGGGAGAAGCCGAAACAAAGGCTAAAGACAGAGTTGGATGGCGAAATCTTGTGGCGACCTTATGCTCCGCCAGGAGCGAAGAGAATAGGTAGGTAGAACCTCCATGTGTTCTTCACTTTTATTCTATAACCAGGCTTAAATTAAATCGAGTTTAAACCATGATTTCATGAGGACTACGACAGCTTCAATATACATACCACAATCCATTATTTGATTTCCAAGATCAACTTATCTATATAGTATTCTTGGCTACTGGTTCTTTAAGAACGATTGACTTAAATTTTATATTGTCATTTGGTGAATATCAAATGTTCCATGTTTCAAACATAATCATAGAAAATCTGAGAAATATATAACATTATTTCCTGTAACCTTTGATGTATTTACACTTTTGGGTATTTAGCTGTATTTATTTTATTTCAGAATTATTTACTCACCGGATTGTAATCCATCTCCAAATTCTGTTTGATTTCTAATTTCTTTAATTATTTCAAATGTGTTGCTGCCGGAATGCAGTGAAGAAAATATTTCATCTGGACTTTTGAGGATAAAACTGTAACCACCAGAATTGAAAGTACCAAACTATAAATGAAGGTAAGAAACTATTTTGATAGCAACTGCATCTTTTCAGACATCTCAATGGCCCTTCAAAGAAACGGACGTCACTCACTGAGGTAGGAACCTTCCGTTTTGTATTGTAAGCATGGAATGGTGTTGTTTAAAGTTGATATTGTAATGTTTATGGTATCGAAATAAACACTGAATTTGATTTTAAGCTCTACGTCGTGTGAATGATGTGTTTTCCATTTGGTAATAGTGGTATAAATTTGAATTAAAGATTATAAGCGCAATATCATTAATATTTCACTGAGACATAAAAAGTTATATATGAATCGAATTTACATACATGAAGAGTAACGCTTTGTTGGATTGGGTTTTTTTAATAGACAAACAACTTCAATAAATTAAGCATCCCCTTTTCTGGGGATAGCACACTTCGTTACAAACAATGTTGTTTTAGAAATGTATCCCTATATTTCTATTGGAGATATACCATGGATTTTGTAAATGTGTAATATCCCAAATTCTGTACTGCTGGATTCTGTAAGAATTGCTCATAGATTGATTTTAAACCATTCAAACAATTTAAGCATAGTACTACTAAGATAACTTTGATGACTTTACAGCAAAACTGCTCGAAAGTGGAGATACAACACAATAAAAATATTTTTCTCTGAATTAACAAGATGAATAAGCTATTATAATCCAATTGGAATGTGGAGAGTGAACAGTGCAGTTTTGACAAAAACTCGGTAGAGTGTGGAAATCTCGTATTATAGCTGTATAGCATTGTAATAGGAAGATAGACCATTACACTTGAATATCAAATATATAGCTTTCTCCATTTTCATAAACAAATTGGACATATAACACCATAAGATTCACACAACGACTAGTCAAGAATTTCGAAACTAATCGTTTAAGTAAGGGACAGATAAATTTTGAGGAAAAGAAAATAGATTACATTTGATGGTAGATGAATGCTTTATTTTTACACGTGCACTCGTCTCTGATCCCTGCAGGTCAAGCACATGGTCCATGGTGTTAAGCTTCAACCTTATTCAAAGTATCGTTTAACATCCAGTGGCGGATTCTGGAAGGAGTTGAGGGCAGTCCCCACATTTTTTGGCATAAAATCGTCCAAAATATTGTCTATACATTACGTTTCCTGTGGTTACTTTCTCTTCAAAATATCTTGATTCCGTCCTTGACATGCATGATGAGGTTGCAGATTTAAAGAATGCGGAACATTAAGCGGTTTCGTTATATCATGAATACATAATAAGTATTTTAAACTGTTTATGTAAGTTATGTAAGAAATAGCTTTATTATATCATGAAACAAATAATAGATATTTTTAAACTTTTTATGTAAGGTATGTGAGAATAGCAAACAATTGTGATTAAGACGGAAGCAATTCTACACGGCAACAATAGAGGGAATATAAATAAACAGTTTAAAAGAGTTTGTCTTTCATTTTATCATTAAATGTCATGCTCCACAGAACAAACAAGGATTAGTCATCATTGTATTGAACATGTTGAAATGAATGTTTGTAACTTCCAAATATGAACACATTGTAAAAAACTAAAAGATTGCGAAATCAAATTTGAAGCAAATGGCACACATTTTTTTCGGTAAAACACAATACCCTATGTACTATTACATGATCATGTGAAAAGCTAAACCTGGGACGAGGTCCTAATTTGACAAATATTGTAGAAGTTGACATCACAATAAAAAGTTTACAGACCACAATTTCATTGTAAACTACCTTAAATCCAAATTATATCCTGATAAAGGACAGACGAACAGACGGTCGGACGCACAGACCAGAGTACTTTATACCCTCCTATAGTCATGTGGAACATATTAATAAAAAGAAACACAAACAGAAACAAAATTACTATGAGACGCTTTGCTACATACGAGGGTCCGGATGGAGTTTACAGAATAGAGAATAATTGACCAATAGTACAGAAAAGATGGCCCAGAAAATAAAGAGAAAAAAGGCCAAACAACTAAACAGTAGAGAATAATTTGCATAAAATATAAAGAATAGAGAAAATGACATAAAAAAATCAAAGTACACAGAAATGAAGGACCCGATACAATTAACCCTCAGATATTTTCTCCAAATGTGATATCCTCCGCTTTGTCCTTATAGCATAGTCATTATTACGAAACATTCAGTAAACACATTGGACAACAGTAGTTTACCGATGTTCAAACCTCCTAAATCGATTATAATTAAATAAATTGGAAACCCTATCTCTTTTCAAACGTTTCTTTATCAAATCTGGCTCTAAAACACAAAAGAAGTAAAACATTCACAAAATTGCTAATAATATAAGATGTTTTGTTCTTTGTGCCGATCTGAAGACCCAAACCCTTTCTAACTGATTTTTACAATCTGATGTTTTGTTGTGCTGTTACATAACTGTCATAGGTTAGGGGAGGAGTGACGCTCACAAATATGTTATGCATTATGTGAATGTCCAAGTCAGTAGCCTGTAATTTAGTGGTTATCGTTGGTTTCTGCCTGTGATATTTGTTTTCGTTTATTGTTTTAACGTTAGCAGGCCGTTGAATTTTGGTTTTAAAGGTTTAACGATTTATCATGCCAAGGCCACTTATAGCTCCTTATACGGTGAGGATTTTGCTTATTTTCGAAATTCATATGGTGACACATAGTTGCTTACATCTACATGTACGTTTATTTGTCTCTTTGGCAGTCATACCACATCTACTTTATATAATAATATCTTACCATACTTTCTGACTGTTTTGTGTTCTGTTGTACTACAAACGATGCTCCTTTTTTAATATCTTGATAAAATATGGACACCTGTAATAATTAAATATAGGTATAAGCTATATATCAATGAGTCTATATCCTTTTCTGCAAAACAGCATACCAATTAAAATGTATTGACAGCAAGTATGAAATAACTTTGTTAAAAATGTAAACTTTTAGCTATTTATTGGAAAGTAGAAAATTTTTGTTGCATAAATATGGGCTGTTTTTGACAATACATTGCACATGCATCAGGTACTAGCATCATAAATTCATACAAAAATTACTGGAATCTGCCCAATTTTTTATTAATTGTGCTAATTCTAAGACTGTTGTTGTCTTAAATGTAAGTGGCCGCACTTGTGTTCAGTCTTAATGTTTGAATATATGTTGTATTTGATGATACTTCATAGATTAGTTCAAATCGTTTACATAAACTAATTGAACCGAATGAAGTAGACACTAGTGTTTAAAAAAAATCTTTCATCAGATGTACTTTGAATTTTAGGTCAAAATCAACCCGTACCGGACCTTTTCCTTTAGACTACACATGCATAAAAAATGTACAGTGCGATAGCTCATTGTTTCTTTTTCTTTTGACCAGGATTATTTTATTAATGTTTTATCCAGTCTCTTGAAAGTAACTGCAACAACTTTTAATGTACCAGCCTTACCAAGTGATGTGTAATCCCCATCCTCGATTTTGCTGGAGAATAAGAACTTTTTTATTTGCATCTTGTGTTCATTATATTTTTCATTTAAATTTGCAACATGGGGCAAAATTCGGTGGGATTTTTTCAGAGGACTTGTACCTTTTCTTCTTGAAGGTTTGTGCCTGTAAGCATCCCATGTCTCAATGTTATGGTTGGAACATTCGTTCTGATGTCATCATTCCGTTCTAAATGAAAATTGACTTGTGTCCTTTCAACTTTTAGGTGAAGGTCATAAGTCTGCGGATGAAAGCTGCTGTCGCTTGATCTTCTTGTTCGTAGACCTTGTGATATTTCAACTAGTATCTCTTCTGTAATTGAAAATAATATATAAAAACATTTACAATTCGTCTTTATATGAAGGTCTGGTTTGTGTGTATATAGAATAGAATAATGGGCAAATCAATAAAGAATAAAGAACTATGGGTAACAAAATAAAGAAAAGCGAATAAGGGGTGCTATGATTTATAAATAAAATTTAAAAAATAAAGAATAGAAAAAAAGGCCAATTCACTTAAAGTATATAGAAACGAGTTCCCCACTGGATACCTTGAATTTCACTATATTTACGAGTCTGAGTTATTTTTGGTGGCCTTACTGTGGAATGTTGATGCAAAAGTATGAAAAGACCAATGATAATCTGTTTGTCGTTATTTTGCATATAACGTCGTTGATGTTTACATTGACAATGTTACGTGCGCCCTAAGTTTCTAGGGATAGTTGTCTATCTTAAGCGAGATATAAAAAAATATCACAAAAATTGAAAGCCAAAATACACCAAATAGCGATACTTATTGATTGTCGATGGTTTTACGAACAAGAGGCTGGTCTCAGCTCCAATCTCATCGAAGGGCGACAGCCTTCAGATAAATGTGACCGAGAAACATCATCGAGTTTGGAAGACCATTGGTAATCTGTTTATCGCTATTTTGTCTATCACGGTTGTTGATGTTCACATTGACAACGGCACGTAAGCCCTTAGTTTCAAATAGTGATTAAAAGAATTATATCATTTCGTTCTAATTCAAAATAAGAAAGTACGAATTATACATAAGCTTACCTCTGTATTCCGCATTGTCCTGAGATGACCATCTGTTAAAACATGAAATTTATGAAATCCATAACACAAAAAGAATTGACAGAATCTTCATTCTTGGTTGTAACGACAGATCAATATCCACCCGAAACAAAAGTATCAAAAACTAAAATTCGTTATTAAAGTTAAAATTAAAGTAAGTCAGTTGATAGCTTTTACGTTTAAATACCCTTGTTGAACACTACATGTAACACGCAGTTAAATGAAATTACGTCTTTCATAATCTTTTAAAGGAACAGTCTATTAGCATAAACTGTATGTCGTGATTTGGGTGAATGAGTCAAACTTCTGTTTTCAATGATAAACGTAGATCTACGGAAACCCGCAGTGATACACTATTATCCTGTCCCTTAAGCCTTAGAAAATAGTTATTTCGTAGTGCATTTTTTTTAGACAATAAATACTTACTAATGTATGCATAAAATATAAAAAAAAAAAATTAGGAAGTTGTTTGAAAAAAATTGCGTTGAAAAGACAAAAAATTATTTCAGTTTGACATTATATTTCCCTGGAATCCATAATTAATTTTATTTTCTACATAAGCGTTTTAAAAGGGTTGAGATCTCAAAAAACATGTTTAACCCCGCCGCATTTTTGCGCCTGTCCCAAGTCAGGAGCCTCTTGCCTTTGTAAGTCTTGTATCATTTTCAATTTTAGTTTCTTGTGTATAATTTGGAGTTTAGTATGACGTCCATTATCACTGAACTAGTATACATATTTGTTTAGGGGCCAGCTGAAGGACGCCTCCGGGTGCGGGAGTTTCTCGCTGCATTGAAGACCCATTGGTTGCCTTCCGCTGTTGTCTGCTCTTTGGTCGGGTTGTTGTCTCTTTGACACATTCCCCATTTCCATTCTCAATTTTATATAATGAGTAATGAGACATACAGTAAACACATTTCTTTAAAAAGAGGCGAAAGATACCAAAATAACATTCAAACTCATAAGTCGAAAATAAACTGTCAACGCCATGCGAAAAAAGATAAAAAGACTAAAAGACAAACAACAGTACACAAAAAAAACATAGAAAACCGAACAACACGAATCCCTACAAAAACCGGGGCTGATCTTAGTTGCTCCGGAAGAGTAATCAAATCATGTTCCACATGTGGCATGTTGCTCGTGTAAGTACATTAGACATTGTAGAGCAGACCCGTCGTGTTGCTCATGTACGTAATGTGTCTATATGCGGTATATATTATCAATAGTTAAACATGTTAGATAGTAGCTGTCTAATTTTAGTGTGAACTGTATGCTTAACTAACTGCTGCATTAATATCTGCTTGCATACTTCTAATATACAATAACTAAAAGCCTCTGCATATGAACGTGCGTATACCTAGATATATTTTTTTTTTAAATCTGAGTATGACTAACTTTTATACCGCAAAAATATATCATTGCTTTTTTAACAGAGATGTCAACATAGCTAACAATCATCCACCGATAACATCTGCGTAATGCAGATTCTTTAAACTTACTTTACATGGCTTTTATTTGTGCATGATGACTTTTAACACCCGACCTTTATCCAGTTTCCTCAACAGTTAAATCAGTGCCGATCGTTAATAGATTTTATTTAGCTAGACATTGCTTTTAATATCTAATCTACTTCTTGGCGAACGTATGAGTGCTTCGTGTATATATTATGTACATTCCTGTAAATAAATTTTGTGCATGTGCAACGTTTCGACGGAGTATTTCTTTTCACAATTTTAACTTTGGAATAAATATGTGAATACGTTAACATTCTTAACTGATCCGTTGAGGGAACACAACTAGCTATGTGTGCTCCAACGCTGGAGGGATTTACAAAAGTTTCTGAATTGACTGAATTGGCCGTCGTCCATACTATTTAGGACGTGTAACGAACTCATTTCTCATTTAACTTTTTTTTTCACAAATAAGTCCAGGTAGTAGAAAAAGATATGGTAAAGGGTTATGAATTTGAACATGTGTTATGGTTACGAAAGTTTGTTGGTTTGAGGATAGGTAAATCATCCAACAAAAAAGTGCGCGTTTTATAAAACTTGTCATAAGGAATCAAATATTCATTGTTCAGGGGTGGTGACCGAAACTTTTGAATTAAGACAATTAACGATTCATGAAGTTCTTTAAATATGTCCTTCGGGTAATACTGCTTAAAATCAGTCATACACAACAGACCTCATGCAGGGATTCCATTCCCAGCTGACACGGCAAATAAAAATTATAAATGTTAAAGGTAAGTTTTATAAATAGTTCAATTACTGAACAGAAATCAGAATATTACCGATTTCAAAATTAATGAAATTAGGCACACAACTAAGTATTTTTTTTTTTGTTTATAAAACACAACATAGAAAACTAAATACTAAGTCTACCAAAAACCAGGGGTGATCTCATGTGTCCCGAAAAGTGAAGAAGATCCTGCTCCACCCGTCGTGTTGCTCATGTAAGTACAACATCGGTGATATAATTCTATTTGATAAAGAAGCGTTAATTCTAGAAAAAAAACCACAGTAAATGAATAGGTTGAGGTCATGGCAATGTTTTAAGTGTACAAAGTTGCAAGAAGATATTGTTTACAACTTCATGAAGAACTATCTTAAACTAAAAATGTGTCTATCTTAAGTTTGAAAACCTTTCTAATTGTGGTATAAATATTGTTAAACTAAATATATAGAGGCCATCTAACGATCTTTATTTATCTTTGTACAAGGAGCAACACAATATATGATATATCGTAAGTATTGTAAAATAAATTCAAGGATATAGTTTAGTCAGCTATACTAAAGACAATTATTTTTACCATGCATGAAAGATTTTAATCAAATATTGTTTGCGTCTATCAAACCATCCTTCAAAGTGCGACAACCTTCGGCAACACAATTCTCCTTAGTGTGGCAAACAATCCTTCTAAGTATGAAAACTTGAAACCAACTGTCTAAGAGAAGTTACGCCCGCCATTTGTTCTCGTGTTAAAATAAATTAAACAGCGGTCAAATTCCGGCATGTCTCGCAAAATCTATTTTCAAACTACATATCTTATACATAGTTACTACACAGTTTTTATTTTCAAGTCGTATCTCCATCGTATAAAAAATACTCTCCCAACTTCTTAAATTAATCATCAACAATATCCACAATCACCTATGCACAGTATACTTCTATAAGCAAAACTTTACTTCCGGTTATATTTTCTTTGCTGAATTCCGTCACAGATAGTATTCAAGCGGATAAATAGAGAATATCATATGGCATTTTCAATATCACATCCGTATCAACCCGAGACACCAATATAATCCCAAGAGCTCTGCTCGAGGGATTATATTGGTTGAGGGTTGATACGGTGTGTGATATTGAAAAAGCCATATCATATACACTTTATTATATACATATACCTCACGTAGAATTTTTTATGTGACATGATGTCATACAGATAAGGAGGTTTGAAATGACGTCATACAGATTACAGGTTTGACATGACGTCATACAGATTAGGGGTTTGATAAAGACTTTGCAACAGTGACTGCAATCGATGACGTGACGTCATATAGATTAAAGGTGTGATAAAGTCTTTGCAACCGTGCTGATATCGATATCATCACGGGTGGCTGATACAGCAAGCTTGCCAATGATTGTTTTACACATACAATTTATCTGTATTTACTACTAAGTATATAATAAATAGAGAATATCATATGGCTTTTTCAATATCACACCTGTATCAATCAGGGACACCAATATAATCTCAAATCTCTGCTTGAGGGTTGATATGGTGTGTGATATTGAAAAAGCCATCTATAATCGTATACACTTTATTATATACCTCAAGTAGATGCTTTTTTATGTGACATTACGTTATACAGATTATGGGTTTAATAAAGCCTTTGCAACAGTGACTGGTATTGATGACGTGACGTCATACAGATTAAAGGTGTGATAAAGCCTTTGCATCCGTGACTGATATCGATATAATCACGGATGGCTGATACAGCACGATTGTCGTTGGTCGTATTACACATACCATTTATCTGTATTTACTACTAAGTATATAATAAAAACGATAATTTCCACTACTTACTATAACATATTAACCGTGTTAACTCTGTTAGATTTGTTTTCTAATATTGAAAATATTAACATAATTCAATGCAAATATGAGAAACACGTAACTCACTTACATATATCATTGTTTTCAATTTAACCGTTTAGGATATCATCTCTTTGGAATTTAAAATGTTGTATGTATTGATTTCGTACAACAAACACATTTGTACCATTTCAATATATTGAAAAAAGAAGAAATACTTTGAAGGTGTTCTTGATAAAACATTATTGTTAATACTTTTAAGCATCCTTTGCTAGTTTCTACAATGATGTTGTGTTTATAACAAATACTTCAAGAAACTGAAATTGTCGGAATTGCGTATTCGGTATAAATTAAATGTTCGGATTGTTATAATTGAATGTAGTACTAGGGATAAACTTTTAAAGAGTATGCGGATAAAATTGATAAAAGCCTATAGTTGTTAGCTTTCATTTGGTCACTGGTTGAGAGTTGTCTCATTGGTAATTATACCATATCTGCTTATTTCTATATCTTCTGTTAAATAGTGGGCCCCGTTTATAGAAATGCGCAACATAATCGATTTCAATTCCTGTTTTAGTAATATGTCCAGGGGCAAATATTACAGTTACATCGGCAATGTACATGACGAAGTTAATATTGAAATATTTTAATGAAATTAAAAGTGATTTTACATTGTATATAAAGAAATACAAACGTAATTCCGAATTGTTTGTTTAGACTGTATTGTTAATTAAAACATTGTAATGACATCATTCTATTATTATTCCCGTTCTTTATTTCAGTAATTGGACTATCATTTACCTGTAAGAAATCACTATGTTACCTTTAAAGGAGAGGCGAAAGATACCAAAGGGACTTTCAGGAATGAATATTGATATATAAAAATAGTTTCCTGTCAAAATATGAAAGACGTAAAAAAAACTAAAGACTTGGATTAAGAATTATATTTCAAGCAACTTTTACTCAGAATTACTGGAAAATAAAATAAATAGTTTAAACAAAAACAACAAACTTTTTTCTTTATAAAAGTATTAACGTCAAACAAGACCACGAATTTTATCTTATATATCATAATGTTGAAACTAGATATTTATTTACAAAAATTAGAATTAGTGACCATAATTTACTTACAGAAAAGGGCAGATTTCTAAATATACCTAGTCACCAA